ACTGCAAGGTGCCACTCTTGAGGTTGGGCTGATGCTCTGGGAAACAAGTGATAGGTGCTAGGCTGGTGTCCTGGGTTCAGCTGTAGCAGCCATTTCTCTCCTTCCTAGTAGCTGGTGCAGCGCTGTGGTTTTGACTTTCAGCCTGCTAACAGCACTGATAACACCGATGGTTTTAGTTGCTGCTCAGTAACGTTTACTCTGACCAAGGACTTTGTGAGTCTCATGCTCTGCCAGGGAGGAGGGGAAGCTGGGAGGAAGCAGACAGGACACCTGACCCAAACTGACCAAAGAGATATTCCATAGCACAGCATGTCATGCCCACTATATAAACTGGGGGCAGTTACCTGGGAGGGCTAGATCACTGCTCGGGTCAGGTTGGGCATTGGTTGGTGGGTGGTGAGCAGTTGTATTCTCTTATTTCCCTTATCATTATTATTATTGGTGGCAGCAGCAGCGGTTTTGTGTTATACCTTAGTTACTGGACTGCTCTTATCTCAGCTCATGGGGTTTACATTGCTTCGATTCTCCTCTCCATCCCTCTGGGAGCCGGGGGGGGGGGTGTGAGTGAGCAGCTGCATGGTTCTCAGTTGCTAACTGGGCTTAAACCACAACAGTTCTTTGTGGTGCACAATGTGGGGCAAAAAGGGTTGAGATAACGACAGATCTTTGGGTCTTGTCTAGGGTTTGACGACGATATAGGAGGACCAAGAGACTCCCCCCAAGGCTGGACAGTCACGTGTGGCAGGGTGTGTGGGACAGTATGGGCAAGCATCTAGGCCAGTGGGCTCCTCCAGTGCTCTGGAACTGTGCCACTGAACAAGTGCAAAACCCAGAAAAATTAGTAAAACACTTAAATGGGGTGTGTTGTCATGCTGGTTATTAAATTAGATTAATATAATTATATTTTATACACATTTAATTTATATAAATATAATAAATAAATAGAATAATAAATAAATAAATATAATAATTTATATAAATATAAAATAAATTAATAGAACTAATTAATAATAATTAAATTAAATGAAATGAGAGATAGTTCATGCAGTAGCATAACAACAGTTGGGTGGCAGATTCTCCTTGCGGGGCGGAGCACCCCAGGGCCATGGTTGCCATGGCCAAGATGGAATCCGCAGGGATTCTATCCTTTATGAGCTGGTGGGAGATGTTGCTCTCCTGGCCAATGGGAGGGCTCAGAACTGCCCCTCATTTGCATCCTCACCTATATAAAAGGGGGAGCTGGGGAGGGTTCTGTGGGCTCAAAGGGTCAGGGTAGTGCAGGGCCAAGGCTGAGCCATGGTGTCCGTTGCCATGGTGTCTGTTACGGGAGCAAAGAGGAGAACCCAGAAGAGAAGGAGCTCCCAGAAGAAAAGGAGGCTCCAGCATGGGACCAGACGCAGGAGCCGCATCAGGAAATCTGCGGCCAAGAAGAGGAAGAATCGGCCCATGAAGAAGAGGAGAAGCGCTTCCAAACGCTCCTTCCGCTTCAACGCCAAGAAGCTCAAGGGGGCCAAGGGGTCCGGACGGTTCCTCTCCCGTGAGGCCAAGAAGCTCATGCTTGCCTTCGTGGAGGACATCTACAAGCAAGTGTCGAGCGAGGCCGAGCGGCTGCGGAAGAAGAGCCGTGAGGCCATGGTCAGCCCCATGCACGTCCAAGCTGCCCTGCAGACCGTGGTGCCCAAGAGGAGGTGGAAGCAGGTGGCCTTCAGGAACAGGCGCCAGAAGAACGCTCCTTCACCCCAAAGGAGAGGATTTAAGGCCCTCGGTTGCTGAGGGCCTGAGCACTGCCCCACAAGGGGGGAGTCTGATGAACTAAATTAGCGTGGCAATAAAGCCCCAAAAGCAGCTTCTGGTTGTGTCAGGGGTTTCTTTGGGAGGGAGGGATGCCGTGGGGCTGGGTTGCGGCTCGGTGTTTCATTAGTGAGCATCTGTAAGTGGGTTTTGATTTAATATGGGCTTCCAGGGCCCCCTTGCTGCAAGCAGACGGTTTGATATATTGGCTATATGTATTTTAATTGCCAGCAGATGATGGGAATTGCTGCGAGCAGGGGGAAAAGACCCACTGGTCAAAATTGCCTGAGGATAGTGATGGTGACGGCCAGATGTGCTAAACCCATCCCTCACCAAGGTATTGCCCACGGCAAAGCAGTGGCTCTGTAAAAGAGCAGCCTGTGCAGCAAGGGTGCCAATGGCTTTTGGAATAACGGAGTTTGCCATTGCTGTGTGTGCTTCTTAAGGGTTGGATTTGCTGCAAAAAAGCCTATAATTGGTATCAGCAGAAGGGAGGGGAGAGAAATGTTCGGGGGGATATTTTGTTGAAGGGGGAAAAAGGAAGTTTCCCTGACCGGGAATCGAACCCGGGCCGCGGCGGTGAGAGCGCCGAATCCTAACCACTAGACCACCAGGGAAGCGCCGGCAGCCGCTTGCCGCCATTGTGGTCTGCAATAGGTGAATAGGCGAAATGGGCACAGGAGGGGGGATTTGGGGTAAAAAAGCGGAGAATCGGCGTTTTCCCTGTGCGGTGGGGGGAAATTATTCCAATAGATTATAGGAAGTTTATTTTTCATCGGGAAAACATGTGTCAGAAGTGGGATTTGAACCCACGCCTCCATTCGGAGACCAGAATTCCCAGGGTAAGGAAAGCAGAGCCTTGAGTCTGGCGCCTTAGACCACTCGGCCATCCTGACACTGTCTGAGCCGTTCCTCCTCCTCCTCATCCTTCCACATCGCCCCCTTCCTTGTCTCCTTTGCAGCACCCTTAATTCGCAGGAAGTTCGGGATTTTTGCAGCAATTACCCTGTTTTCCACAGCCTCTGTGGCCCCCTCAGGATAAAACCAGGATTTGGGATTTGGGAAGAGCCAGGGCAGCAACCTCGCTCACACTGATCATTGAGTGAGGGCAATAAGGGACCAAGGAAGACCGCAAATCAAGTTGTTTCTCTGCAAGGAAACATGGGTTTGGGGGTAATTTTGGGACTTTCCCTAAGTCAGCACAAAAGTGGATGTTCTCTTGCTGCAATTCCACGTTCTTCAGGCAGAATTCCCTACGCAAAGTGTGGATGAGGTTGAGCTACATCACAATGGCTTTGCTGCAGTTGGCCCACCCTGGCCTGCACTTCGGAGCCCTCATTTGAATCCGCCGCCTATGTAAGCGACCTGGTGGGACCCATCCAGAGGAGCCCCGAGCCTGACGGAGACCCCATGGCTGTTGTCACCAGGAAACACGGGAAAACCTTGAGGAGGAAACCCAAAGTCCAGGGGACGAAGCCCGTGCTGAAGTGGGGAAAGGCTCCGGCTCGTGCCCGGCAGCGGAAAGCGGCTCCCAAGGGATTGAACGGCTGGGTCAGGAAGGGATCCTGCAGCTGGTACATCTCCAGGCTGCTGACCCAGCTGTGCCCAGCAGCCCGGCGCATGTCAGTGGAGGCCAAGAGGCTGATCAGGGGCTCCATGGGTGGGCTTTGCAAGGGGCTCATCACCGAGGCCGACCGGCGGAGGAGACAGCGGCGCGGCTCCTTCATCGGCACCTCGGAGCTGCGGGCTGCTCTGCACAAGGTTATGAGGGGTGAAGTGCGTTTTGCCTCCTCCACCTGCAGCAGACCTTCTTACCGGAGCTGAATTACAGCAGCCTCTCCTCTCACCATCCCTTGTCTGCCTTTTTGCCTGGGAGAAGGAGAAGAGAGGGGTTGTGGTGATGGGTTTGGTGCGTTCCAATGGTCAGGGAGGTGAGAGATGGATGGGTGCTGCATGGTGGTGCCTGGAGCTCCCATCACGGTGGCTGGGCTGGCATCAGGGCTTCACCGGCATGGTGTGGGAGCTGGAGGAGCTGCAGGAATGGGATTAACCCCCGGCGATGGCATCCGGGAGGAGCCGGGTCCTGGGAGCAGCTCAGGTCTCCCCATGCCCTCTTATGGCTTGACCCCATAGCCAGGTTGCTCGGTGTCCTCCTTGGAGGAGGCAGGGTTTAAATCCTGCACATTGGGATTTAGGGATAATTCCCCGTCCTTGTGCTCTGTTCCAAAGCAAATGAAAATTATTCCTTCCCCTTTACTCCGGCTTTTCCCAGCCAGGGAGGGATTAAAGCACCTCCCCCCCCCCCCCCCCCCCCCAACCATGGGGATGGTTTCCAAGCTCTGGGAATCCCTCGGAGGCACAAACCCAGGCTCCTCTCTCATCCCTGTCTGTTCGCAGAGCTGTGTTTTCCTTGGCTTTCACAGCCTCCTTCCAAGGCGGCCAGGAGGGATAACTCAGAGGGAATTCCCTCCCCTTCCCACCTCCAAGCGCAGGATTCCCGAGCGTGTGCTCCCCATGGATGCAACACTCAAAACATCCCTGTTGCCGCTGCCGGGATCCTTTGGGAAAGATCCAGCCAAGGCTGGAGATGCCCGAGCTGCATAGGAGCGGGGGGGACGCTGCGATGGGGCAGGACGGATGCGGGAAGCGCGGCCCGGGTACCTCTAGAGGGCTCTGGGAGCCTCCCGGGAGCGTCTCCTCTCTCCCGGATACCGGCTTGGGCTTCCGGAGCAAATCCATGCCCGGCAGCGCCTCCATTGTGTCGGGAGGCGGGGAGAGCCTCGGGGCGCATCCCCATCCCCTCCCAGCCGCCGAAGGGAGGACGCGGGTCCCTGCGGAAGCAGCTCCCGGCTCCAGGCAGCGAGTGCGGAGCCGGGATTGCAGGTAATGGGGTGGGAACCCTCACATGGGTGAGCGCTGCCCCACATGAGAGCCTGGAGCCTGCGGGCTGCTCCCAGCAGGAGGAGGGGATAAGGGAGAGGACGGTGGATAAGGAGGATGGGGCCAGGGCTGCGCAGGAATGGGGCACCAGTGCCCCCCTCCGAGTGCCCCTGGGAGGGTGATTCCCAGTGAGATGGGAACTGGGGGAGCTGGGATGCAGGGGGAGAAAGGCAGAGATTGGGATGGGGTCTGCTGGGAAAACAGGGACCCTCCTGTCCCCAGGCTGCTGCTGGATGGAGGGAACGGGCCCCAGCATGTCTCATGGGACCCTGGGGAAAGCATCCAGACCGAGGCAAGAGGAGGGGAATCTCCTTCGTTTCAAGGGGTTTCTCTTGCCCACAGGGGATTTTGGGGAGCCCTGAAGTGAGGAACGGAGGGGGAAACCCTCCTGGTCCCCACCATGGAGCCGTGGGTGCTGCTGAACCCGCAGCAGAAGGCGCTGTACCGGAATGTGCTGCACGAGAGCTACGAGACGCTGATGTCCCTCGGTGAGCAAACGCAAACATCCCCTTCCCTTCCTCAGCATCCCCCCTTTTCCCTTCCCTGTCCTTTTCCCTGTTTCTGGAAGGGAAGTGAAGTGCTCCCAGGTGAGGGAAGATGAATGCAGGCAGGTTTCCAGGGGGATATCTCCAAAGCCTGTCCTTAGTTTAAAGGAAAACGCTGTTGATCTCTCCGCATTTATATTTAATTGGGAATATGGGCAATGGGATGTGCTCAGCTCAGTCCAAACTGGGCCCTGGGTGACCATGTGTAGCAGAATCCCCTTCCTCCTGCACTGATTTCAATGCCACTTCCTGCTCCGATTGAGGCCGTGCTCTGCCCTCCTCCTCTTCCCATTTCCCAGCAGCACAGGGACTGGTGAGTGGAAAAGCAGCGGAGGAAGGGCCAGGAGCGGGAAGCCGCGGGGAGCCGGACGCACGCCCCGGCAGCGAGCAGAGCCCCAGCTCCAACCGGTGCAAAGCAAAGAGCCCAGACAAAGCGGAGCCTCCCGGTGCCGCCAGGACCCCCAGAGCGGCCCGTGCCAAACCCCTCCGTGGGGCAGCCCTGGCGCGGGAGCGCCCATTCAGCTGCGCTGATTGCGGCAAGAGCTTCCCGTGGGCCTCGCACTTGGAGCGGCACCGGCGGGTGCACACGGGCGAGCGGCCCTTCAGCTGCCCCGAGTGCGGCGAGACCTACAGCCAGAGCTCGCACCTCCTGCAGCACCGCCGCACGCACGCCAGCGACCGGCCCCACAAGTGCGGCGACTGCGGGAAGCGCTTCGCCGGCGCGGCCGAGCTGGCGGCGCACGGCCGGGGCCACGCCACCGACAAGCCCCACAAGTGCGGTGACTGCGGGAAGGGCTTCGTGTGGGCCTCCCACCTCGCCCGGCACCGGCGCGTGCACACCGGGGAGAAACCGTTCCGCTGCGCCGAGTGCGGGGAAGCCTTCAGCCAGGGCTCGCACCTCACCAAGCACCGCCGAAGCCACACGGGCGAGCGGCCCCATCGCTGCCCGGCTTGCGGCAAAACCTTCTGCCAGAGCTCGGACCTGGCGCGGCACCACGGCACCCACCTGGGGAAGAAAGCGCTGCGCTGCGGGGACTGCGGGAAGCTGTTCCGGGCCGGCCCGGCGCTGGCGCGGCACCAGCGGTGCCACCGGCGGGAGCACTCCCACTGCTGCGCCGACTGCGGGAAGGGCTTTGTGTGGCCGTCCCACCTGGAGCGGCACCGGCGCGTGCACACGGGCGAGCGGCCCTTCCCCTGCGGCAGCTGCGGGGAGCGCTTCGCCCAGAAAGCCCATCTCCTGCAGCACCGCAGGACGCACGCCCCGGACCGGCCCTACAAGTGCGGGCACTGTGGGAAGCGCTTCGGAGAGGCCCCCCCGTTCCTGGCGCACCAGCGGGGCCACGCGGCGCACAAGAGCTTCACGTGCGGCGACTGCGGGAAGGGCTTCGCGTGGGCCTCCCACCTGGAGCGGCACCGGCGTGTCCACACCGGGGAGAAGCCTTACGAGTGCCCCGAGTGCGGGGAGGGCTTCAGCCAGAGCTCGCACCTCACCAAGCACCGCCGCAGCCACCTCCGCAAGGCGCTGTTGCCCCCCCGGAGGACGCAGATGAAGGGGGAGAAGCCGCTGGATGCTGAGGGAGGGTGCGGCCATGGGGAGCCCTGAAGGACACGGAGCAATGGATGCTGATCCCGAGGGAAAACGCAGTCTGGGGACAAAGCAAAGGACGCTGGAGGGGCTGGAGGGTGACAGCAGGTGGGTGATGGGGCTGTGAGGCATCAGGGAGGGGTTTATCCCCATGTGGGGGACGGTGGCTGCATCCCAATGGTCATCACAGGGGAGAAGGAGACACTTCCTGAGGGATGCAGAAAGGGATGGGGGGAAGCCATGGCTGGTTCTTGTGCCAAGGTACGGTGGCGTTTGTGCCTGTTCCTCGCTGCCGGCAGGATGGAGAAGGGGATGCGTTGCACCCATGGAGAGGGCCCCATGCTGAGAGCTGTGAGGAATAAATCAGGAGCTGCCTGTCTGTTCTTGTGCCCCAGGTGGGGGCACTGTGTCTGTTCTTGTTTCCTGGTGGGAAACCCCTCGAGCATCCTCCCCCTCTCCAAAGACCACGCTGAGACAGGTGAAGGGGGTTTTGGCTGAGCTGCCTTCTACTTTATTACCTGCTATCCCGAGCTGAGGGATCCCAGCTCTCCGTTTTTCCAGCTCCATGCATCCCACAGCGTCCAGGGGCTCACAGGGAGGAAACAGCCCCCGTGGCCCTTGTCTGAGCCGTTCGGCCCCAAAAGCCACCAGTGGGAGGGTGATATCCCCCCTCCCAAGGACCAGCCCCACCAGTACTGAGGATGAGGAAGGTGACAGAGAGATGTGCTCTCCCCATCACCCTGAATTATCACCCAGCCCTCCCCAAATCCCGTCCCTCCTCTCCTGGTCTCCCCCCAAAGCCCCTCTGCTGATCTCTACACCCCACACCCCCTCCCCACCGCGTCACCCCCATTCCCCACCCACCACGGCCATGGGGCATCCCCAAAAGGCTCTGAGCACTCCTCACCCCCCCCCCCCCCCCGCCCCATCTCAGGAGCTGGGGGGGGAAGGCAGGGAAGCCCAATGCTCCTGTGGGGCAGAGGCATCGCTTTGCACCGTGTCCCCCTCCCCGCCTCTCCACGCCGTGGTGTGGGGCAGGTCGGCCTTGGCCGCCCAGCCCCGGGGCGAGGAGGATGGGGAGGAGGAAGGCTCTGGGTGCTGCTGGAACACAGCGCTGGGCTCCTCAGCCCAGGGCTCTGGGGGGGTCGGAGTCCCCCCTCGCTTCTCCCCTCCCCACCACGCCGCTGGCAGCAGGGACGCGGGGCCGTGCCGGCACCGATGGGCCGCCAGCGCCGCGCCGAGCCCAAAGGCTTCGCCGCAGTCGGGGCAGGAGTGCGGCTTCGTGGTGTGGGCTCGCTGGTGCCGGTTGCGGTGGGAGCTGCGCCCGAAGCGCTTCCCGCAGTGGGCGCAGGAGAACGGCTTCTCCCCGGTGTGGCTGAGCCGGTGCCGGTCGTAGTGCGAGCTCCAGGCGAAGCCCTTGCCGCACACGCCGCACTGGTAGGGCTTCTCGCCGCGGTGCAGCCGCCGGTGCCGCTCGAGGCCGGGCACGGTGCTGAAGCCTTTGCCGCAGTCGGGGCAGGCGTGGGGCCGGCCGGGCTGGGCGCCGTGCGTGCGGCGGTGCGCCAGCAAGGTGGAGCTGACGGCGAAGCTCTTGCCGCAGTCGCCGCAGCGGTAGGGCCGCTCGCCCGTGTGCACCCGCCGGTGCCGCTCCAGGTGCGAGCTCACGGCGAAGCCTCGGCCGCACTCGCCGCAGCGGAACGGCTTCTCCCCGGTGTGGATGCGGCGGTGGCGCTCCAAGTGCGAGGCCCAGCCGAAGCGCTTCCCGCACGCCCCGCACGGGTACGGTTTGGTGCCGGCGCCGGCTCCCTCGGTGGCTTTGCCTTGCTGCTGGCCGTGGGTGCGCTGGTGCTTGGCCAGCGCCGAGCGCCAGCGGAAGCAGCGCTTGCAAACCGGGCACGGGAACGGCCTCTCACCGCTGTGGACGCGCCGGTGCTTGAGGAGGTTGGAGCTCTGCGAGAAGCATTTGCCGCACTGCTCACAGCGATGGGGCCGCGGGGGGCTGCTGCTGGGCAGCGTCTGCGTGCCCTTGTGCTTGAAGCGCTGCGGGGCCGTCTGGTGGTTGAGGCGCTTGCCGCAATCAACGCACTTCAGTGCGGGCGGCGGGGGCTCTGCTTCCTCCTCCTCCTCCTCTTCCTCGGGGGCAGCGGCGTGGGTGCGCATGTGGCGGTCGAGGTGCGAGCTCCAGGCGAAGGCTCTCCCGCACTGCCCGCACTGGAAGGGCTTCTCGCCGGTGTGGATGCGCCGGTGCCGCTCGAGGTGCGAGCTCCAGGCGAAGGCTTTCCCGCACACCCCGCACTCAAAGGGCTTCCCGCCCGAGTGGCTCTTCTGGTGCCGGTCGAGGGCGCCGGGGTCGGCGAAGCCGCGGCCGCACTGCGGGCACCGGTTGGGTCGGTGGCCGCCGGGAGCGTGGGTGCGCTGGTGGGTGAGCAGGGAGGAGCTGACGCTGAAGCGGCGCCCGCAGTGGGCGCAGGCGTAGGGGCGCTCGCCCGTGTGCACCCGCTGGTGGATGGTGAGGTCCGAGCGCTGGATGAAGCCCTTGCCGCAGTCGGGGCACGCGTGCGGGCGGTCGCCACTGTGGATCTTCCGGTGCTTCACCAGGGCTGATTTGTGGCTGAAGCTCTTCCCGCACTCCCCGCACGTGGTGCGGGGCTGGGAGGTTGGGTCCCCCGCGCCCCCACTGGCGCACGGCTTCGCCCCGGTCTCCGCGGGGCTCGGGGGATGCTCCTCGGGTTTCACCTCCTGGGGCTCTTCCTTGTCTTGAGGGGGCTCCCGCTCCGCTCCTGCTCCATCCTCTGCGGGGCACAAAGAGACAGAACCCAGGCAGGAGCCAAGGGAAGGGGGTAGGAAAAGGGGATGCTTCCCTGTGAGCCCCCGCTGCGGTCAAGGCATGACCAGAGGCTCACCTGCAGCCGGGGTGTCTCTGGGCACATGGAGATCCAGGGCTCTCGGTTCACCCCCGTGGTCCAGGCGGGGCAGCAGATCTGGCTTGGGGAAAGGGAATTCTGGTGAAGAGAAGAGGGAATGAGCAGCATGAGGCAGGAGATACCCATGCCCCTGATGCTGGGATGAGGATCCATGTATCCATCCATCCATCCTTCCATCCACCCATCATCCATCCATCCAGCCTTCCGTCTATTCATACTTCCATCACCCATCCATCCATCCCAAACTCTCCTCTGCAGGAGGGGGGATGCTCCTCACCCAGCGCCATCAGCGTGTCGTAGCTCTCCTGCATCACGTCACGATAGAGCGCTCTCTGTCGCGGGTCCAGCAGCACGTACGGCTCCATGGCTGGGGAAGGAAGCAGGTCACCCCCATGAGCCGTTATCCCACGGGATGGACCCTTCCTGCAGAGCCCTCCATCTGTAATCTATAGATTATTGGTGTTTAATAAGCTGAATCGCAAACCAGGCATGAAGCGTGGTGACGGGCAGCTGATGAACCTCTCCCTGCCCTGTATTTCCCCACATCCTACATGAACTCTGTACCCTCTGCCTCTAGCAAATGCGGATGAACATCGTTTTCCCCCAGAATTAACGGGAAGGAAGCAGAAAGGGGAACCATAACCGTGGAAGCATCCCCCTCTGCTCAGTGGGTGCATGGGGATCCCAATGAGTGCTGGTTTAGAGGCACTGTTTGCCTATTCCAGCTGTGGAGGATGGAGGCCGGGATGCCCTGGATGTGCAGGAGGCGGTCACTCACTGGTACCGGGGATAAAAGGGTGATCTCAAGCCGACCCCTCCCGCAGGTTTCGCTCTATTCCTGCTCTTTATCGTGCAGCCCCATCAGCACCTCCCTTACTGCCCTGATGCTGAGAGCATAAAGAGAGTGGGTTATCAGGAACACCCATCCTCGCAGCACCTCCCTGCTTCCCAAAGCCCATCCCAAACCAAACCCACCTTCTCGAACGAAGGGAGAGGGGAAGGACGGGCGGGCGCCGGCAGGGATGGGGTTTGGGGGGGATTTTGGGGTGTTTTGGGGGGTATTTGGGGTTTATTCTCCACATCTGGAGATGTGGAGACTGGTGCGGGCGGGCGCCGCGGAGGGGATGGGAGGCGAGGGGAAGGGAAAGGATGGAGGGGAAAGCAAAGGGATGCGATGGAAACGGAGCCATTTCCCGCTCTCTTTTGGCACCCGAAGCCCGAATCTCCCCGTTACCTGCGGTCTCCGGCTCGGGAGGTGCTGTCGGCAAAGCCCATAGATGCCCCCCCGCTCCCTTTTAACCCCCAAACCCCCCCTTTTTCGCCCCAAAACAAGCCGCAGTGTGTGTGGGGATGCGGGGACCACAGGGATGCGGCGCGGTCCCTCTGGTAGCCCGAGCAATGAGAGTTAAAAAGGGGAGGGGGGGGAAGGAAGGAAGCAAGGAATTAGAGGGAAAAAAAGCCAGGAGAGAGGGAGAAGGAGCTCGGCACCGGGGCCAGGGCCCTCTGGTGGCAACAGCGGCCATGTCTCTGGGCGGAAAGCGAACAAATGCTCATTAAAGACCTGGGGAAGTGCGGTTTTCGCCTCAAAATGGGCTAAAACGCGATGGTTTGGGGGTTTCTGCCCCTCTGTGGGGATGGGGATGTGCCCTGGGAGTGTTATCCTTAGGGAGGGCTGCGGCGGAGCGGGACGCCATGGATTTATTGGTTATAAAGCCATTAAGAACCACTTTGGGGCTCAAACTGGAGCTGGGTGAGCATCCTGCGGGACGTTTTAATACGTGTGGACCGCGGGGCTGCTCCTCCCGTTGCAGCGGCTGTTCCCAACGGGAAAAGGGGCTGGTTTGGGGGGTAAACGTGGGGTTTTCTGTCAACAGATGTTGGCGATGTCAGCACGGAGCACGTCCGAGATGTGTTTAACGGCCCCATGAGGGGTTTGGGGGCTCACAGGTGCCTCCCAAACGGCCCCGTCCCACCGTGGCCACAGCGCTTTAGGGGGGCTTTTGCCCCTCGGCAGGACCCGTCGCCGTGGCAACGCCGCCTGGCTGCCCTCACCCAAGATGGACGCCAAGGCTTCACCTTCTGCGGCCATCTTGAGCAAGGCCCTGCTGGCGGCAAGGCGGAGGGGGAGGCAGCAGCCATCTTGTCGCTCTCCCTGCCTGAGGGCGAGGCCGCCATTTTGGAAGCGGGCACGGCCATTTTGACCGTGCGGTCCTCCGCCGTGGTGAGGCCCCACGTGCAGCCCTGGTGTCCGCAGCATGAGGACATGGAGCTGTCGGAGCACGTCCAGAGGAGGCCGAGCAGGGGCTGGGGCAGCTCCTGTGTGGGGCCCGGCTGAGAACACTGGGGCCGGAGGAGAGAAGCTGCTTGGAGCCCTCAGAGCAGCTTCAAGGGGGGTATAAGGGTGTGGAGAGGGACCTGCAGCAGGGATGGGACAAGGGGTGATGGAACTGGAACAGGGAAGTTCAGGTTGGAGATGGGGAAGCTCTTCCCGGTGAGCGTGGTGGGACACTGGAGTGGGTTGAATGGAGTTGAACCTGTTCAAGGCCAGGCTGGACTGGGCTTGGAGCAACACTCACTAGTGTGAGGTGGCCGGGGTTGGGACTGGATGAGGTTTAAGCCCTTCCCAACCCATCCCATCCATGATGGACTCCATGCCTGTTTCCATGACAACACGGCGGCTGCGCCATGCACCCCCCCCATCGCGCGCAGCGCGCCCCCTGCTGGAAAGACGCGGCCTTCCCCCCCCTCCCCGCCTCGTTGTGCGCAGGCGCTGCCACGCCCCCCTCTGCCCGCGCAGGCGCGGCCCCGCTCCCGCGGGCTCAGTCGGGCCTGGGGTGCGGAGCGGAGCGGATCGTAGCGGAGCAGCCCGGAGCCGGGATGGAGGCGCCGCCCGCACCCCCCAGCGTTCCCCCGGCTCCCTGCAGCGCGGCCCGCAGCCTGCAGGACGAGCTGACGTGCCCGGTGTGCCTCGAGTACTTCAACGACCCGGTGCTGGTGGCCGAGTGCGGGCACAACTTCTGCCGCGCCTGCGTGACCCAGTGCTGGGAGGACTCGGCGCGGCGCCTTTGCTGCCCGCAGTGCCGGGAGCCGGTGCCGCAGCGGCTCTTCCGCCCCAACCGCTCCCTCGGTAACATCGTCCACATCGTCCGCCAGCTCGGCTTGCCGCCCAGCCCCGCCGAGCCGCCGCCGGGGCCTCCCGCGCCCTCGCCGCCGCTGCCCGCCGCCGCTCCGCCCGGCCCGCCGGGCCCGCCGCGCTGCCCCCGCCACGGGGAGCCGCTGCGGCTGTACTGCGTGCAGGACCGCCGCGCCGTCTGCGTCGTCTGCCACCTGTCCCGCGAGCACCGGACCCACACCGTGCTGCCCGCCGAGGAGGCGGCCCATGCCCCAGAGGTCAGTGTGGGGCGGGGGGCACTGGGAGCCTTCCCCCCCCCCGAGGTGTTGGGATGCACTGGGGAGCCCTTCTTTCATGCGGGGTGGACCCCGCTCAATGGGGGATGCGTAGGGGATAAGTGTATGGAGGAACCACAGGGATACCCCCCCCACACCCCACGGGATGGGAGTGCACCAGGGAAGCCCCCCCCAGTGCCCTTGGGTGCAACAGGGACTCCCTGTCCTTAACAGAGGTGACTCTGCTTATCCCCCAGTGCATAAAGCATCCCCTCGATGCATTCCCCGTGTCCATTAAATGTACCTGGGATGCAGTGAGGATACAGGGTGTAGGGTGCAGAATGGGGATCCCCTGGCCAAGCCGTGTGGTGGGGCAGGTTGTGCAATAGGGACTCAGTTCTCCAGCACCCCAGGGAGGATGGGGGTGCAAAACGGAGCTGGGTTTAACTGGGAAGGTACTGGGAGCGGAGGGGTGCAGCCAGTGCGAGATTACCCTGCACTGGTGTGAGTGTGCAGAATACCGTTAAACACCCCAAACCTGCTTCCATGGGCAGGAATGCTCTGGAATGGACATGGAGCCTGGCTCCAGGGGGTGGGGGGGTGCATAATAAGGGCTTGAAGTGGAGCGGGACACTCCCCCCCGAAGGGACTTTCCCCTCGGAGTAGCCCAACACGGGGCGATCGAGCCGTGTGACGCAGAGTGAATCCGGAGCCGTTCAACCACCCGGAACCTCCATAGGGCGCAGGGGAGACTCCCCCGGGGCCATGCGGGGGGGTTCCCCGTTGGAAATAGTCATTAATTAGTACTGAAGAGGCTACCGAGGGCGGGAGCCTGGCCCCGGGCAGCCCAGGCCTGGGGGAGCCAAGATGCCGGCGGCATGTGCAGTGCGCAGCAGCGGATGGAGGAGGAACGGGAGGTGGCACCGGCGCAGCCGGAGCCATCCCGGTGCCTCAGGGGCACGGAGGGTGGGAGCTTCAACCACAGCTCCTCCGTTCCTGAGTTACCAGCATCGGGGCAGGTGCCTCCAAAGGGGTTTGTACTGAATCTGGGGCTGCGATGGCTGCCTTACTATCTCCAGTGGTTGTGAAGCTGGAGCTTGAGTTGTCCCGTCGTCCCAAATGTGGGACTGGTCCTCATTCAGCACCTTTAGCCTGTCGAAAACTGCATTTTTGCTGCTTTTCCCCCTTTTTAATTTGCTTTGATGCGTTTTTACCATCTCTTTTTGCCTCTCTGGGGGCTGTTTGCAGCTCCTGCTTCTCCTGTCGTTGCTGTTCTCTCCCATGGCACCAAACCCTGGTTACAGACAGAATCTCTGCAGCTCTGTGTTGTATGTGTACAAGATGAGCCGTTGGTTGCTGCCCAAAGCCCTGCTGCTTCCTGTGAAGCGTTGCTAAGCATCTCCCTGTCTGCCTTGGAGGCCAAAGGCCTTCAAACAAGGGCAGTTTCCAACAGTGAGCTGTTGGTAAAGTCCCTGCGCAGCTTGGAGGCAGCCAACCCCCCCCATCTCAGTGGGGTTCAGGCAGTCGTGGGGGGCTGGGATGTGAAGGCTCATCCCAAAAGATGATCCCAAGGGGCAGAAAAGGGGTTTTCCTGTGGGGTTTGTGCTTGCAGAGGGCTAAAAACTGGCTCTAGCCTGGCCTTTTGCTTTCCTGCCCTTCCTTCCTTCCCTCGTATCTGTTTCCAAGCTCGTTTGGGGGCAGTTTTTGGCTTGCCCCAAACTAAGGGTTGAGGGTGATGGGGCAGGGGAGGACACGGCACAGTGTTGGCCTCACCTCTCTTTGGGTTCGTGGTGTTCTCCACCTCAACCCCCCCCCCCCCCAGGTTTGATGGGATTTGCCCAGTTTCAGCAGCAGCACTGGAGGGACCCCCCCATCCCATCCCTCTGTATTCCTGATGCCAGGTAGGCAGGATTCCCAACAGAGCTGCTCTTTGTCCTTGCAGGAGGTGCCCCAGGAGCACTTGAGCTCCCTGAGGAAAGGGCGTGAAGAAGCCAAAGCTGAGAGGGAGAGACAGAGCGAGGACTTGCTGGTGAGTACCCGGGGGGGTCCCTGCTCCCCCCCCCCCCCCCCCTCCAGCCATGGGGTGTCCATCTCACGTGGGCTCCCCACTGGGATCTTGCAGAAGCAAACAGAAGTGGAGAGGCAGAAGATCGTGGCTGAGTGCAAGGAGCTCCGGGGCTTCCTGGAGGAGAAGGAGCAGCTCCTGTTATCCCGCCTGGAAGAGCTGGACAAAGACATCCTCAAGAGGAGGGATGAGAGCGTGTCCCGGCTCTCCGAGGAGATCGCCCAGCTCGACAAGCTGCTGGCTGAGCAGGGAGGAGAGAGCAGCCCCGGGGGCCAGCCCGGGCAGGTGAGATCCGTGGGATGGGTGTGGGATCGGGATCCGTTGCCAGGGTGCTGACCCCCACGCTTGGTGTCCGTTGCTGTGAGCCCTGTGTCCTCGTGGGGTTTGCAGCTTGGCACGGTCATGTTTTCCTTTAAAAACCACGTTGGTTTTCCCATCGGCCCTGGAAAGGAAAGGGGAAGGGAAAAACCTCATAATTACGGACTGGTTCTGCCATTTCCATGGGCCCATGCTTTGGGAATGGGCTGGGAGCTGGTCCCTCAGCACAGCAGTCATGGGGCTGGTTTGGGGGAGGATTTGGGAGACTTTGAGCTTATCCTTTCTTGGTGTTTTCCTCTCTTTCCAGGTTGTTGCCCCATCTGGAAGCAGGTGAGAAGCTGAGCCCTTGCTGGGGCTCACACTGGGGGTTCCGGCTCCCCCCCTGTGGTTCTCACCCATACTAGGGTGTCACCAACCCCAAACCCAGGCTTGTGGCAGGGGTTGAGCATCTCCCAGAGGGAAACCGCAGAGTAGCTTGGGTGGTGAGGGGCAGAACCCCCCAAACTAGTCCTAATTCTCAGCTGTTGGGCGAGGAGGATACTAATCCAACCCCAAACCTTCCCTTTCTTTCCTGCCTGTAGCTTGGGGGTTCAGTTATTCCCATTGGGAGCCTAATGCTGCTTTCTTGTCCCCAGCTTTGAGAGCTGGATGTTCTGCAAGCCCGAGGCTGGCTTCACAGAGCTGGAGAAGAAACTCAAGAGCTTCTCCCAGAAGAGTGCAGTGCTGAAGGAGGTGTTGCTGGAGTTCAAAGGTGAGCTCTGGGACAGGTTCCCTCCCAAAGCTGGTGCTTCCCATGGAAGCCTGGTGTTGAGTTGAGTTTAAAACACAGCTCTGAGTTGTGCTCTTGCTTCCCCCTTGTTGGGACAGCTCCATTTGAGCAACTGCTCATGAAAAGCAAGAGCAGCAGCACATTGCCCTTGAATTCCTTGGATTCTGGAGGTATCTGTCCACTGCTGTTCCCAAGCAGTGGCGGTGGGTGGCTTGCCATGCAGCAGGGATCAAGGTTGTGTGATTGTCAAGTCCCCTGGCACAACAGCAGCTGACCTTCTTTTTTCTCTCCCCTCAGAGAACCTCAGGTTCGAGCTGGAGAATGACACAGGTGAGCACGTCGCCTTCCTCCGTGTCCTTAATGCATGAGTTTGGGCTTCTCCAGGCAGGAGAGGAGGAAAACCGGTGCTGCTGCTGCCAAGGGAAGAGGGGGAATGATCCCAGTGCTCAGAGAGGCCCTGGGAGGTGCAGCCCTGGGGCTGGTGGCGTTTAAGAGGACTCTGCAAGAGACCTTTGTCCCAGCTCCTGGGTGTTGGATCCGCTCCGGGATGGACTTTGCAATCTCTGTGGTGGGTGCAGGATGGAGCCAGCTCTCAGCAGCCTCTGATGTTCCCCGCTCACAGCCAGTTCCTGAGCATCCCCTGAGTACAGAACCAGCCCTTAAACACGAGGATATTTGCTTATTCCAGCACTTGGAAGTGACTGAAGGAACCTGGGGTGTGGAGCAGCTTGCGCTAGGGAAAGGGGTCCATGCCTGTGGCAGGGGTTGGAACTGGATGAGCTTTAAGGTTCCTTCCAATCCAGACCATCCCACGATCCTATAAAATGCTATTTCAGCCCAGAAATCTCTGTTCCAGAGTGAGGAGGTGCCTGGGATGGCGCGGGCTGGAGGGTTTCCAGCAGGGATCTGCCTGTTCCTCTGCTTGCATTAGGATATGGAGCCCGATCCTTGTTCCCTGCAGCTCTTTGAGTGCTTAAAGTTGGAGGTGACCCCCTCCTGTGGGGCAGAGACAACGAATCCCTTTGGAGAGTGGGATCCTTGGCTCGCAGGTGCTCACATCCCTGTTTCCCTCCTCCCAGGTGACCTCTCCCTGGACCCAGACACAGCCAACCCCTACCTGGTGCTGTCAGAGGACAAGAGGAGCGTGCGGCTCCGGAGCGCGCCGCAGGAGCTGCCGGCAAATCCCAAGAGATTCGATTATTCCTTCTGCGTGCTGGCAGCGGAGGGGTTCGTGGCTGGGAGGCACTACTGGGAGGTGGAGGTGGGAGATGGGGAGAGCTGGGTGCTGGGGGCAGCGCGCGAGTCCGTGCGGAGGAAGGAGAAGATCGACTTTGCTCCCGAGGAGGGGATCTGGGCGGTGGGATTGAACTGGAAAGGGAAGAACTGGGATCAGTACCAGGCTTTCACCTCCCCAGAGACGCCCTTGTCCCTGTGTGAGAGGCCCAGGAAGATCGGGGTCTACCTGGACTATGAGGGGGGGTGGGTGGCGTTCTACAACGCCGACAACATGGCACCGATCTTCACCTTCACCGCTGCTTTCACCGAGAAGATCTTCCCCTTCTTCTGGCTCTTCTATGTGGGCTCCTCCCTCTCCCTCTGCAATTGAGCCTCCAGTTTCTTTAGCCCTCCCGAGGTGACCTGCAAGTAGGATCCTGTCCCTTTTCCTGCCCTGCTTTCAGGCAGAGCCCCCCAGACCTCCTCATTGTCCCTTGTTCTGCTGTTTTCTTGTTGCTTTCCGGTTTTGAGTCGTCTTCACACCAAAAACCTTCCTCCGGGGCATCAGCCGTGGAGGGTGATGGCTGAAATAGCCTGGTTGTGGGGTTATTCTTGTTGTAGAAGTAACCCCATGTGTTTTGTTTGCTGTTCTGTTTCAAGTTGGCTGCCCCGTGTGAACAGGGATGTAACCAGGGACGAAAGCTCCCATAGGGGTTACTTGCATCCTGCATTGTTCCAAAGCTTTTGTGCACCCCAGGAAGCTCTAGAAGGCTGGAAAACCAGTATGAGGAGCAGAGGTACCATTCCCAGCCCTGGTTCCTGATGCAGTTGCTCTGCAGGTCACCTTTTAGCTTCCCTTTCACCTCATCCTTGCTTTCCTTTCCCCTTGGGAAAGGGCCGAGTTCATCTCCTCGCTGTTGGTAGCACCAAGAGAGCAAAACCTCATCCCCTTCCTCACCGCTTCCCCCAGTAGCACTGAGCATCCGCAGGGTTGGGAATGGAGGGAGATGGGATGAGTTTTGGGGTGTAGCCATAGGGACATGCAGCGAAGCAGCAGTTTAGGGTTGCATTGTGGGTAGAGCCCGATGGAATCCAGCCTGTATCCGTTGGGAAGGAGGGGGAAGCTTGTTTTCAATGTGATCTCGTGCGTATAACCCCTGGCCCACCCTCGTGTGCTCCACGATGCTTTCTTGTCTCTGCCCTGTCACTGTTTAGTGGGGAAATAAAAGTTGCTGTGCAAAAAACTAACACCAAAATCCCTGGAATTCCCCAAACTCCTGTTTCGTGGGCTGCCTGCAGCAGGAAAAGCTGCTCTCAGGTCCTCGGCCACCCTCATCGAGGTGAATGGGGCTTGCGGACACCTCTCCTTGTCCCTGTCAGCTCTTTGGGGGGCTCTGGGGAGGGTGTTGATGGGGGTGCCCCCAGATGGGTATCACGGAGCATCCCTGGAATGCTCAGGAAGAGGTAAATGGCGTTCATAGGCTATGGGGAACCATCACCACATCAGTAACACCCATGTCCAAGGCCAGACCTTGGCCTCAGTCCCCTCCACCTCCATCATCGTTTTATTGTGCTGAACATGGAAAACCTCAGGATTTGGTGTTGACCTGGCCAAAACCAGGGCAAATCTCCCTTTCCCCCTCTTTTCCATAGAAACTCAGCACTGAGATGGCCGCTGCAAGTGGGGAAACCCCCTTGGACATGGAATGAGTCTTTATTGAGGATGCTGCTGGTGCTGTTGGCACCCTCACGTTGGGAGGGATTCAGGGAGGAAGCTCCATGTGTGTGAGCCCAGGGTTTGGCAGAGAAGCTGGGAAGTGCCGTTCCTTCCCCACTCCTTGTACTCTTGGCACTGCTGCGGGGTCCAGCATCACCCTTGTCCATCACCCCTCATCCTCTGATCTCAGTCCAAGGAGGATGCGTCCTATGAGCCAGCACCCTCCATCCCCTGGCCTTGGGATGCTCCCGTATCCTGGATCCCGATCCCTTCCCCATACTCAGCAACGGGAGGCGGGATCTCCTCCGGGTCCGCACCGCTCCCCAGCGTGGCCCCAGGGGCCGGCCCCTCCATGGGCGCTGGGGCCGGCGGTGCTGGGCGCTCGCCGGGGGGGTGGCTCTTGCTCTTGTGGGCCGCGACGTTGTCCCTCTTCTCGAACCTCTTGCCGCAGAGCTCGCAGGAGAACTGGTACCCGGCGGCGGCGCCGTGCTTCTTCATGTGCCAGTTGAGGGAGGCCTTCTGGCGGCACGTGAAGCCGCACACCTCGCACCTTGCAATGGGGCAGAGAGGCAGGAACGGGGCTCACGGGGTGCTGAGCACCAGGGGGACCCAGGCCCACCTCAGCTCGGCGCTGGGATTGCAATGGGGGGCTTAGCGAAGACACCGCAGCACAGCACAGGTGGCTCAGCCTCCAGGCAAGGCGGGGCAGTGCTCTGGTTAGACCCAGCTCATTGCTCTCCTTACGTCCCTGCTTACTGCTCTCCTTAAATCCCAGCTCATTGCTCTCCTTGGGTCCCTGCTGATTGCTGTCCTTAAGTCCCTGCTGATTGCTCTTCTTTAGGACCCATCTTATTGCTCTCCTTAGATCCCAGCTCATTGCTCTCCTTAAGCCCATCTTATTGCTCTCCTTTAGGACCCAGCTTATTGCTCTGCTTAGATCCCAGCTTACTGCTCTCCTTTAGGACTCATCTTACTGCCCTCATAGAATCACAGAATAGTTAGGGTTGGAAAGTACCTTAAGATCATCTAGTTCCAACCCCCCTGCTGTGAGCAGGGACACCTTACGCTAAATCATATCACCCAAGGCCTCGTCCAGCCTGGTCTTGAACACTGCCAGGGATCCCATCTTATTCTCTTGTTAAATCCTAGTTTATTGCTCTCCTTAAGCCCATCTTATTGCTCTCCTTAAATCCCATCTTACTCAGCTCTTCCAAACCAAGCCCACCCTGAAGCTGATGCTGAAGCTGCTGCTCAGAGCTCAGCCAACCCCAAACCTTGAGGCAAAGCAATATCTAACAGCCAGCCCCGAGGACCTTGGCTCTCGCATGGAGCCAAGAAACTCAACTTGGGTTGAAAACCTGATGAATTCAGGCTGAAAAGCACTGAGGAGAAAGCACCAGAGCCTGTGCTCACTGTGGTGGGACCGGTACTCACTGCAGAGGCTTCTCCCCTGTGTGGATGCGCCTGTGGATGATGAGGTTGCTGCTGGTGCGGAAGGAGCGGGCACAGAACTCGCAGATGTAGTCCCTCTTGTCTGGGAGCAGAGGAAACAAGGGGTCAGGAGCAGATCCAGGCTCAGGGGCAGGCAGGGACGTGTTGGGATGTGCTTTAGGAGGGGAGCTATAGCCCCATGGCGGGGGGTAGGTGCCCAACTCACCGCTGTGCAGCTTCTCGTGCTCCTTGAGGTGCTTCTTGAAGTTGAAGGATTTGCCGCAGCTGGGCTCTGAGCACGTGAAGGTTTTCTGGTGCACGTGCTGGTACTTCTTGTGGTGCTGGTGTGCGGGGAGAAGAGAGGTCGGTGACGGGAGGATGCACTTGGAGGAAGCCCAAAGGGCCCCGTTCCACCCCCCTGAAGCGTGAGGTGGGACCGAAGCGCCCTCAGGCTGCTGCACACATGGGGCCACCAAGTCCTATGGCCCCATGGGCAAGCCAGGCTGCCCCGTTCCAGCTCTGGGACAGCACCCAAAGCACCTCCAACAAGGCAAACCCTGCCCCATGGGGATGCCTCACGTTCAGGTACTGGCGGTTGGAGAAGATCTTGCCACAGCCCTCGAAGTCGCACAGAAGGATCTCACGCTTGGCGGCCTTCCTATGGGATACAGGGTGGGAAACCAGCGTCGGGGAGGATGCTCTGGTCCCCCATGAGGTCCTCCTCCCTCCCGGCCCCAGAGGCTGGTTTCCAGCACACGGGAAGGGGATGGAGCTCCTGGCCCCACGCACCGGATCCTCTTGGGGCCGATCTGCGCCACGTCCTCATTGCTCGCCCGCACTCGCCTCTTGCAGCTGCAATGGGAGAGAAGGGGCTGGAGTGAGGCTCTTGTCCCCCCACAGGCGAAGCCCACACTGAAACCAGCCCCTGGCCACCCTTTCCCTGCTGTTTCCTCCATCCTGAGGGATTCTCCCCATCCCAGCGGGAAGCGGCGCTGACAAATGCACCTTTGAGGCGTTAGAAATGGGAGTATGCTCTTTATTGCTCATTATAAGCCTTTCACATGGGTCTGGGCACGTCCCAGGGCATTGAGGTTGGTGTCAACCTCACACCAGCCTCATCTGAGCTATGATTTATCCATAGGGAATTCCGGGCTCCCGTCCTGGAATGAAGGAAAAGGGTGTTAAAACCAGGACTGCTTGTGGGGGGAGAATAAAGAGACTGCAGTAGACAGCTCAGCCTCAGCACGGGGCTGGGCATCTCCATCCACAACCTCTTCCAACATGCTTTGAGCTCAGGATGGGGTTACCTTTGGGATGAACATGCCAAGGGCTCAGGAGAGGGCATTTTAGCTCCGTTCTTCCAGGTGCTGCAACAAGGAAAAGGGGGGAAATGAACCAAAGGCTGGGAAACAGCATCCCTGTAACCGAATCCAGCCTAGAGCTCAGGTGGAATAATGTGGGAGCTGGTGCCCCGTAGCGCAGCGACGGGCAAGGGGAGGAGAAAAGCAAATCCAGCTTTACCATCACGTTTTCCATTGCTGGGCCTGGATCTTCACTCTTCCAACAAGCAGGAGGCGCTTCCAGAGCTGGAAGGAGGCAGGAAGGGTGCTGAGCACCACAAGGAAGCAGGAATCCCATGTCCGAGTGAAAAGGCTCCCGTGTGGAGCAGCAGGTACTTACGCCTGGGCCTGCTGGTCCCGTCTCCCATTGGATGCATGGAGCAGGATGAGGTGAACATGCTCATTCCAGTGAAAAAGGGGAGTTTGACCCCCTCCTTGTTGTTACAAGGTGCAGGAAGGAGCCAGCTCCTTCTGTGCCAGCCCCAACATGGGCCAGCCTCTGGCTTCAGCACTGAGACCAACCTCTCCTTAACACCCTTGCAAGAGCCAGCAATAAAGGGATGAGCTCAGGACAGAGCTGGGAATGTCGAGGCTGGGAAGGCAGGATCAAACCCAACCCTCAGTGCAAAGAGCAGCGCTTAGCAGAGGCTGCAGATGGAGTCAGCATCGGCGTCATTGTGCCTTGGGCAACCTCACTTCTGCCCCATATCCATGAGTGAGAGCAGTGTCTGTGCTTCTCCAGGTGAGGAGGGGTGGGATGGATGATGGAGGGATGCATGGATGATGGAGGGATGGATGATGGATGCATGGATGGATGGATGATGGAGGGATGGATGATGGATGCATGGATGATGGAGGGATGGATGATGGATGGATGCATGGATGATGGAGGGATGGATGATGGATGCATGCATGGATGGATGGATGATGGAGGGATGGATGATGGATGCATGGATGATGGAGGGATGGATGATGGATGCATGGATGGATGGATGATGGAGGGATGGATGATGGATGCATGGATGCATGGATGATGGAGGGATGGATGATGGATGCATGGATGATGGATGATGGAGGGATGGATGCATGGATGGTGGATGTTTTTGCTGCTACAACCTCCAGGCTGCTCAGAAGCTTCATGGTGGTGGTTTAAGGGGTCTTTGTGCCCCTCCAGGAGCACCCCTGCCCCAGCAGCACATCTCCAACCACCCAGGACCAGCTCCACAAGACGCAGTGGATGAGACGAAGACTCATTAAACCCCTCATAGTGAAGCTGCTTGGCAGGCCCCAGCACCCAACAAGCTCTGCTCTGTGACAGCAGCATCACAAGGACAAGGATTAAACCACCCTGGGACATGCGGTGTCCCAGATTGAACACCCAATAGCACTGGGTTGGATGGTTCCTACCTGGCTCCTCGGCATGGGAAGCACCACCAGCATCCCCAAAACACTCATTCAGTGGCCATGGAGAGCTGGGTACCCCAAGAGGAGCACCCAATGCCCATACCCAGCATCCCCACCTGAACACGGCGCCGTGACCCACCTCACTCGTCCACTCTTCTCCTCGGATGGGCTGGAGCTGCTCAGGCTCAGCTCCTCTGGGGGCTGCTCCTCCTTGATGGGGTTCTTGGGGGCTCTGCTCTGGCTTGGTCGCCGCTGCAGCTCCGACTCACTGGGAGAAGAGAGGATTGGGATAGGAAACACAGCTGGATGTGGTGGGATACAGATGTGGTTGGCTATGGCAAAGACCCTCAGACACAGTGAGAAGGTGCCCTCATTTAAGTGCCATAAGGACCTTGCTCCCATCTCCTCCCGCCTGCGAGGGCAGCACAGGAGGGTGGCAGAGGTGCAGGGTCTGAGCCTGGGATGATCCCAGTCCTCAGGCTCCTTCCCGGCAGCTCCAAGTGCTCCTCACCTGTCCAGGGACGGGTGGTAGTTCTCATCACGCAGGTCATCCGTGTAGGTCAGGTCATCGTCCTCGGCGAAGTCCTCATCCTCCTCCTCCTCCTCTTCTTCCTCTGGGGGCTCAGGCCCCTGCTTCACCTTCTCCTCTGGGATGAGTGTGCTGCGGGAACACAATGACCAAGGAATGGGATAGAGGGGTCCAAGCTTCTTCCCTGGGGAAAGATTCCTGTGTGGCACCACTCACCTCCCGTGATCCTTCCGCGTGGTCCCTGTCTCTGCTGGCACCTGGGGCGCTGCAAGATGACAGGAGCAGTAAATTGAAGCTGGGATGTTGGGAGACGCAGAGGATGGGGAATGGATCTGGCAGTAGGGTTGGGAAGCTGGAGGTGTTGGAAAGGACCTGGCTGGTGCCACCCATGCAGTTCTGGATCATTAGTTCTGGAAAGGACCTTTCCAACCCGAACCATTCTGTGACTCTACTGGAAGAAGCTCAACCTCTTCTCAAGAGGCTGCTACAGGGAACATGGAAACCCCAAAGCCGACTTTTCCCCCTGGTTTTCAGCAGGGCTTGGGACACCCCCGATCCCAGCGGGAAGGTGCTCGATGGGACGGGAGAGAGGTCAAAGATGGGGCACCAAGAAGCCAATGAGGGTGGCAAAGGGGACGCGGCGCTCACCTGTGTCACCAGCGCCAGCTCCCCGCTCTTTCCTCTGCTCCGGGGCGGGCGCCGGAGCTTCCCCCTCTGCTCCAGGCTCCCCGTTCCCCGCGCGCCGCAGCGAGCGCCGGCGGCCACTGCCCCCCGGGGCCCCCCCGGGCTCCTCGCTGCCGGGGGCCCCCCAGGAGAAGCTGTGCCCGGCCACGCACTCCCACACGAGCGGGGCCGCGCTGCCCGGCGCCGGCGCCTTCACGTCGGGGACGAAGCCGCACTCCTGGCCGTGGCCGTGGGACAGCACCACGAGGCGCTGCAGGGCTTCAGCGTGGAGGAGGCCGGGACCCGGCTCGCCTGTGGGGCACCAGAGCAAGGGATGGGTGAGGACCAGCCCCAGGGTCTCCATCACGGGGCACCGTGGGGGTCCCTCTGCCTTCCCCTGCAGGGGTGAGGTTCCCACCCTCTGGAATGCCCAAATTCTCAAAGAGTTCCCTCAAAACCAGAGCTGGGAATGCCAAGAACCCCACCACAGCCAAGCCCAGCACCTCAACGCAACGGGAACCTTCTCCCTTCACCATAAAGCTCTCCCGGACCCCATTAATGGTGGGGTGAGGGGGGGGCACCTACCCGGGCTCCAGACGCAGCTGTGGGAGCTGTACCTGTGATGGGAAGAGGGGAATGAGCGGGGTTGACCCTTCCCGCTGCCCATCCCGAGGGATGGCGGCGCCCGGCACGGACCTGTCGAGGAGGAACTGGGCGAGCTGGGAATGGAGGGCGAAGCCGAGCTGCTCCTTGAGGCGGCACCAGCGCTCCAGGTGCCCCCCGATGCGGATCCGGCACTTGCTGCGCCGCGCATCCAGCTCCCGGCGCTTCTGGCGGCGGATGCAGTCCGGAGCACGCTGCCGGGCGGGACGGCCCGGATCCATCAGGAGCGGCTGCGGGACACAGGGGTCAGCGGATACAGGGATGGGACAGCTCCATGGGGGGATGCAGGGGGATGGATGGGCAGTGGGATATGGAGACGGTCAGGGGATTATGGGGATGGGATAGAGGGATACGGGGATGGGACAGCTCCATGGGGGGATGCAGGGGGATGGATGGATGGATGTGGGATATGGAGACGGTCAGGGGATTATGGGGATGGGATAGAGGGATACAGGGATGGGACAGCTCCATGGGGGGATGCAGGGGGATGGATGGGCAGTGGGATATGGAGACGGTCAGGGGATTATGGGGATGGGATAGAGGGATACGGGGATGGGACAGCTCCATGGGGGGATGCAGGGGGATGGATGGGCAGTGGGATATGGAGACGGTCAGGGGATTATGGGGATGGGATAGAGGGATACGGGGATGGGACAGCTCCATGGGGGGATGCAGGGGGATGGATGGGCAGTGGGATATGGAGACGGTCAGGGGATTATGGGGATGGGATAGAGGGATACGGGGATGGGACAGCTCCATGGGGGGATGCAGGGGGATGGATGGATGGATGGATGTGGGATATGGGGATGGGACAGTGGGATCGAGAGGCAGCCCGGCTCCATGGGGAGGGTCTGAAGGAGTCATGCAGGGACACGGGAAAGGACCCCCAAAGTCCCCGCCCCCCCCCCGGCCCGGCCCCGCCCCCTCCCGTTAGCCCCGCCTCCCTCCTTCCCGCCATTTCTCGCCGCGGGCCCCCCCCAGCCCCTCACGGACCGACCCCCCCCCCTCCGCGGTCCCGTTCCCGCCGCCGGGCCTTAAAGCGGCCGCCGCAGCGGGGACGGCGGAACCGGCCGGGACGGGAAGGGAACGGAAGGGAAGGGGGGGCCGAGGCCCCGTCCCGCTCCCCCGGCCCCGCCGCCGCCGTCCCCGCCGCCGCACAACCTCCCCCGCGGGGCCGCGCTCCATCGCATCCCGCGGTGGCCCCACCCCGGGGCCGTGCCCCCTTTAAGAGCCAACGACACCACCCCCCCCCCCCATCGCTCACGCTGCTCAGGTACCGGGACAAGATGGCGGAGGCACCGCCTCTTTTATCGGCGCATGCGCGTTGTGCTCGCGCCGCGGTCCCGCTCTGGGCCCGGTTTTGGGGTGAAATATCGCGTTTTGGGGACATTTTAGGGGTGTTTCGAGCCTCTGAGGCCCGGGTTCGGTCGCGGTTGGGGCTTGGTCTGGGGAAGGCAGAGCCGCGGTTACCCAGAGCCCCACAGCGCTGCCCTTCAGCCAGCCCCGGCCTGGCTAATAAATAACAGCAATAATGATAATGATAAATAGCGATCATAACAATAAATGGTAATAATTGTTATTGTGGATGAAGCCAAAGCCTTTAGTGCCGTGTTGAGGCTATTGGCAATGCAGCAGCATCAATGCATCATCAATAGAGCACCATCAATGCAGCATCATCAATGCAGCATCATTAATAGAGCATTATTAATACAGCCGCATCAATACATTGTTGCAACATTATCAATACACCATTATTAACAGTATTATCAATACAGCATTATCAGTATAGCATTATCAATACAGCCTTTATACTGCATCATCAATAAAGTTTTGTTAATGCAACACCATTAATCAGGATTAATACACCATTATCAATACAGTATTATTAGTGCACTATTATGAATGCAGCATTATCAATACACCATTGGCAATACACCATTATTAGTGCACCATTATCAATACAGTATTATTAGTGCAGCATTATGAACGCAGTATTATCAATACAGTATTATTATGAATTATTATGAATGCACCATTATCAATACACGATTAGCAATACTGCATTATTAGAACACCATTATCAATACACCCTTATCAATACACCATTATCAATACACCATTATTAGTGCACTATTATCAATACACCGTTATCAATACACCGTTATCAATACACCATTATCAATACACCGTTATCAATACACCGTTATCAATACAACATTATTAGTGCACCATTATCAATACACCATTATCAATACACCATTATTAGTGCACCATTATCAATACACCGTTATCAATACACCGTTATCCATACACCATTATCAATACACCGTTATCAATACACCGTTATCAATACACCGTTATCAATACACTATTCTTGACGCATGAAGTGTCCACGGGATAACGATGGACAAACTGGTGCCGGCAAAGCCCCCTTCCCCTGGGGGCTGCTCCGGCCATTCCCCACGTCGGGAATTGCCCCGATGCCACCGGGGGCTTCTCGGCCCCAGCTCCTTCTTGTGCTGGGTCCTCCGCGCGCTCCTTTGGGAAGAGGCTGAGCCCCGGGAAAGGTCAGAGCGCTGCGGAATGCGGGAGAACAGCCGGCTTTTGTGGGGAAAAATGTGGGGCGTGGGACGTCCAGGGGGCAGGAATTCCATGGACACGGGAAGGGGAGGGAACGGAGCTCGGAGGGAGAGCAGCGCTGAGGGTCTGGGGGGGGATCGGGAGCCTTTTAGGGACCACGGGAGCATCCCTGGGGCCGGGATGCGCCCCCATGGCCACAGGGATGGCAGGACCCGGCCGTGATGCAGGTACCGAAGCGCCATCCCCTTTCCCAAAGGCTGCTCGGGATGGGATGGGACACGGAGATGTGCTTTGGATGAGGCTTTTTGGGGGTGCTGGGGTGGGGATGGGGCTGAGGAGCAACGGAACCAATGCAACCAAGCAGCAGAAAGCAGGGAAACCAAACCTGTACTGGGTTCCTGAAGGTGGGAATGGTGCTTCCCTTCCTGCCATCAAGCAGATGAAGGGGAAATGCTGCTTTCCCCTGGGATTAAGGTACCCAAAGTCACGGATTTCCTCCCGAATATCCTCACAACCAGCAACTCTTCACTTCCACAGGCGAGGACCAGGCTGCCCCAGTGATGCAGAGAGCAGGGGAAGGGACCAGTAAGCACCAGTCTTGTACTGGGGACATTGGTTTGGGGCTTGTGGTTGGGCTCAATGTGATGGGAGCAGCTCCAAGAGCTCGGAAGGAGGATGGGAGGAAGGGCAAGGCTGCTTGCAGGGATGGAGCCCATTGCTTATGGAGGGAAGGGATGCACCGAGGTCCTTGGATGAGAGGACCCTGACCTGATCCTGTGTGTGTGTGTCCCCCACGCTTTGTGGCTGGATTTAGGGGTTGAGGCACCCGTGGGGAGCTCTGGGTGCCTCCTCCATGCGTTTTGTCCCCAGGTTTTAGCCTCAAGTGCATCAAGGACAAGAAGGTCCCCATTGGGGTCACTGTGGTCGTGGCCGCGCTGCTCCTGGCCATCATCGCGCTGGCGGGTGAGTGGCCGAGGATGAGGATGGAGGGATCCATCGGCGCCGCCTCCTGCCTTGGGCAGCGCTCACCACCGCCCGTTCCGCTCGTTCCCAGTGAGGAAGTTCCCCTCCTGCCCCGCCTGCCCCGCGCCCGACCGTTCCAGCTGCCTGGAAAACGGGATCGGATACAGGCAGAAGTGCTTTTACTTCGTGGAGGACGAAGCGGAGTGGAACAGGAGCGAGAGCTTCTGCCTGTCCCTCGGAGCCCATCTGGCCGCCGTCGACGCGTGGGAGGAGCTGGTAAAGGGGGAATCCCTGCGGATCGGGAGCTGTTGGGAAGCACGTTTGGGATGCACCCGAAGGGGCAGAGCCTGAGGCTTGGCTTTAACCCCTGCAGCGGTTCCTCTTGCGCTACGGGGGCTCCCTGCACTACTGGATCGGGCTCCGGAGGGAAGGATCCGCACCCTGGACGTGGGTCAATGGGTCTCTCTTCAACGACTCGTATGTCCTGGCTCCTGCTGGGGACCAGGGGCTGGCGTGGGGCAGGGGTTGAATGCAAGACGACACACACACACATATATATATAATGTATAATATATAGTATATAGTCTATACTATATAATATAAAACATATAATATATAATTCATATATAACATTTAATATATAACATATAAGATATAAAAAAATAATTAGTACATACTACATAATATGTAGTATATAATACGTAATATAGAATATATGTTATAGTATATATAATTTATTATAATTTTATGTATTTATATAAAAATTATATATTTATTATAATAATTATATAAATATATAATATATAAATACTATATATTTATAATACGATGTAGCATAGTATAATATAAGCATGTCTATAAAAACATGTATATATTGTATCTATAAATATGTAGATATTATATATATTTAATACATTATATATACTATATTTAGGTTTTATGTACAGGATTTATATATAGGGTTAGGGTTATATATATTAATATACATATTTATATATATTTATACATATCTATATATATTTATATGTAGATAATTATATATATTGTACCTATAATACATACATATTTTACATGTGCATCTATAAAACATATATAATTATCTATATACATTTATATATACAGACATAACTTTAATGAGGTGGGAGCAAGCAAACACTGTTTGAGCTACAGCTCTTGGGCCGCATCCCATGGCTTTGTGGGCTTGAGGGCACAAAATCCCCTTGGAAAACTGAGCACATTCCCCCTGTTGAGGAGCAGGAAGCAGTTTTGTCCTGCCCTGGGAATGGTGCTCCCTGCTCCTCTGTTGATCCCAATGGGAGCTGCAACCCATTGAGTGCTTCTCTGCTCCGTGGGGCAGGTTCCAAGTCCGCGGGAGGGGACAATGCGCCTTCGTCAACGGAGACGGGATCAGCAGCGACTGGTGCTCCCTGATGAAGTACTCCGTGTGCAGCCACCCCCAGGCTGGGAGCCGCAGCCATCCCGAGGGCTGGAATCTCACCTGAAAACCTGCGGCTGCTTTGGTGCTCTTGGTCCTTCGGTGCAGAAATGCAAGGGAATTGCATGGGAGAAGATCCCAGCTTGGCCAAGGAGCCCCCGGGATGTGCGTTGGGAATTGCCTGGCACTGAGTCGTGTCCTGGTTTTCCTTGTGAGTTTTCCTCTGGTTTAAATCCCTGTGGCCCCTTCCTGGCAAATCCACAGCGCTGGAATGTGGGAATGGGGCTGATCCCTCCAGATCCGCTTCCATAAGCACCATCACCCATCACCGTGGCCTCATGCACGTGCTTCCTGTAAAAAGATTTACCCCATTCAGGGTGTTTTTGCCCCAGAACCTGAGCCCAGCTGCCACCATGGGCAGGTTCCTCCCATTTGCTTCCTGGTTTTCCAGCTCTGTTCCCAGTATCTGTGTTTCTCTTTCCCATAGCCCTACACGGGGACTACTTGGTCTAATAAATGCTACTTCTATCCAAACCTGCCTCTTTTCCCTAGACACCGGGGTCCCATCACCAATGGGGCATCTTCTTCCTGAAATTCCCATCCCTTTGCATTTGGATGGGTAATGGAAATGAGTCCATTGCCTTTCCCTCCCCTGTCACAGTGTAGAGACCCCCCCAAATTGCTCTGGCATCATTTACACACGTTTGGGCACCAAATTTTGGCTGATTTTGCCCCATATTGCCTTTGAAATCCCACCTGGGGCAGCCCAGGGTGGGTGTTTGGGGTGAAATGAGGACAATTCCTCCCTCTTATAGTGAAACAAAATGTATTTATTCTATTGTGTGCATATTTATAACCCATCACACGTGAGACAGCCTCAGAGTGGGGAGCAGCACAAGGCAGGGGGGAAGTGAGCAGGAGCCCATCCTGTGCTGACAAAACCCCCTTTAACCCAAGGTATGAGCTCAAAGCTGCAGAAATTGGGGCGGGGGGGAGGGGGTCATTCAGGTTGGGAGCTGGGCCAGGGGGGCACGAAAAGAAACCTTTGGAGGGGCTGAACTGGGGTGGAAAACCCAAGTTTTCAGCTTGAAAGAAGCTCGGGGAAGCTCCATGAGGGAGCTTGGGATGGATTTAATGGTGGTGGCTTTCAGAGGGGATGAGCTGCACCCAAAACCCCCTGATGTAACCCAGTTATATAGAACCTGGAATGCATTATATGGAGGTAGGACCACGAGCTGTAATGGAAACGATTCCAAGACCTGGAATGTAAGAGCTGAGGAGCATCAGGGAGCGTTTCCAGCCATCACGAACCAACCCCAGCAGCGATTGACCCCTTGGCAGAGAGTCTGATGGTGGAGAGGAGCACGCAGAAGTAGGGGAACACCCTCTCCCCACTGAAGGAGCCCACGGGGAAGGTGAAGATGCGCTGGCGGCTGCCCACGGCATAGAAGGAGACTTCTCCCACCTCGTAGTCCAGGTAGACCCCGATGCCCCCATTGCCCAGCGGGACGGAGGTGTTGGACGGGGCCGTGAGGGCCACGCAGAGCTCGTCGTACCTCTGCAGCCCCCACATGTGGGCGCTGGGCTTGAAGAGGACCCGGCCCTTCCTCTGCACCGACTCCAGGGCCACCCCCACGGCCCAGAACCGCCCCGTGGCCTCCAGCTCCCAGTAGTGGCGCCCTGAGGTGAAGCCCTCCCTGCCCAGCAGGCAGGGGTCGGTGTCGAAGCGGCCCGGGGCGTCCGGCCAGGGGAGGCCAGGCCTACCCCAGGAGGCCTCCTTGAGGTCCTCGGACAGGATCACTTCAGGGCCCGCAGTGGCCGGGTCCAGGGTCACGTCCACTGGGGAGCAAAAGGGGAGGAATCAGAAACACCCCAGAAATCCCCATCCATGGTTTCTGCGCAGAAGGAGAAAGGGAGAGGTGGGAAAGGGAAGAGATGGGGCTGGGGATGCAGGAGGTAGAAGGTGAAGCTGCAGATCCTCTAACAGAGATCTCGCTTGATGCGACCCATAAACCATCAGGAATTGGGGTGCTGCTCCTCTCCAGCCCCTTCTGTTACCTTCAAACTGCTTTGCTGTGTGATAGTCCAGGGCGAGATCCCACATGCGTGGCCGTGGCTTGAGGAGGAACGACATCGCTCCCTCCACGTCCTCCCCTCCAAGAGAGAGCAGAACTCGGTTATGGTCCTGTGGATGGGCCCGGCTCAGCCTTTTTGTGTCAGAAAACGGGTTCAGACACTGCGTTTAATCAAAATGCCTGAAGGAAACAATCAGTTTTTACCCCGTGGTTGCAAGGGAGCTTTGCTCATCTATGGGAAGAGCCAGAGGTGGATTAAATCCGTTAATTCCCTGGTGGTTTATCAATGTGCACAAGGGAGATAAGGGCGGGCGTGAGGGCCATGAAGAGTAATGGAGCCCCCAAGTGGTTGGATAAACCATGCAGAGCTCCAAACTAAACTGGTTCCCATGTGTTTTCCCTAGGAAGAGCAGCGAGTGGATGAGCAGCAGCGGTGAAATGGTGGGAAAACACCCTTCAAGGAAGATAAAAGCAGGAGATTTGCTGGTTCGCACCCAAATGTCCCCATTTGGTTGGTTATGGATAGACAGGGAGGAAAGAAAAACCACAACCAACCGCTGGAAAACACCTTTAAATCCAAAGCAAAGATCCTGAGGGCAAAGCAAGGATAAACCCGCTCCCGTCCCTCACGGATGGGATGGGAGAGTGTTCAAAATCCCCTTTCCCACCCCAAAATGAAGCCGCAGTGCTGGGAATTGCCCCATTCGAACCTTTTGTGTTGCTTTGAGGCTCCTCCGGTTGCTTTCCCACCTGGATTTCTCCCTCTTCTTGGGGTTTCCCCTCTCTTTGGCACCGGCTCCGCTCGATCCCAGCTCTGCTTTTATCAGCCAGGGAGGGAGGAGAGCCCCAATCTCCTGCCTGCAGATGGGGCCATGACACATTCAGGCGCCTCCTGCACCCTCCGATTGCGTCTTTTGTGCCCCATTTCAGGGCCATTCCCTTCGTTACTGATGAAGGGAAGGGAATAAAACCCCAGCAGTGACAAAAATGTGCATTATTGAATTCATTTTTACCCCCAAATCTGGCTGTGGGCACTTGTGCATGACAAAACCAAGCCAAAGATGGACAAGGGATGATGGGGTTAAACTCAAACAGGGGGAGTTCAGGTTAGATGCAAGGCAGAAGCTCTTCCCTGTGAGGGTGCTGAGGCGCTGGCGCAGGGTGCCCAGAGAAGCTGTGGCTGCCCCATCCCTGGCAGTGTTCAAGGCCAGGTTGGACACAGGGGCTTGGAGCAAGCTGCTCTAGTGGAAGGGGTCCCTGCCACAGGCAGGGGTTGGAACTGGAGGAGCTTTAAGTTTCCTTCCAACGGAAGCAGCTCTCTGGTTCTATGGCTGCAGGATGAGGTGGCAAAACCTGGCAATGGGATGAGCTGGAGGGGATAAAACACGTTTAAAGCCAGCCGTGGGTGAGGGAATTTGCCTCTTCCCACCCAGGAGCCGAGCATGGGAACATCCCAGGGGCGGTTCGAGGACCAGCAACCAACATCCAGCCCAGAGGAAGCCACCTCAGTCACCTCCTGCTGCTGAAGAGGCAAACCCCTGCTCAGGACCAAGCAGCGATGGATGAGCAGCCGCTTGCTGCAGCCATGGAGCTTTTGGGGAGACCCATTGAGGTCTATGAGGTGAGATCATCCTCCCTACGGCACCCATCAGGCTCCTTATGGGAGAAGCTTGAAGGGAGTTGATTCCTGCTTTCAGGAGGTGGCTTTTGGGGGAAAATTTGCTTTCTTCCCCCCTATAATTTAGGATTTTAAAGGCAGGATTATACAAACGAGCTTCATGTTATGATTTCATTGCGGGGTGCATCCAGGAGAGGCTCCAGTCCCACCTGCGAGCTCTAAGGAAGGTGCTGGCGGAGCTTCTGGACTGGAGAATGAGTGAAGAGAAGCAGCGCATGGATTATCTGGTGAGGGGACCCTCCTTGTTCCAGCAGCCAAATGGGTCCCTGGGTAGGCTCTTCCCCCCTCCCCAGAAACACGTGGGATCGTCTCCGTGCTGCTTCCCAGCTCCCTGCAAAGCCCCGGATCCGGTTGGAGCCGTTGGCACAGATCTGGGCAGGTTTAGTGGGCGCCGCCTCCATGTGCAGCTGCTTTAAATCGCTTCCTTTTCATGGGGCCAGATCAAGCCCTAAAGGGACGTTCATTAACGTGGGATTTCTACCTCCCCAACACACACACTTCCCAGGGGGTTTAGACTTCCAGGCTCCCCAATTTCCCAGGTTGGTTTTGGACTGGAAGTAGCAGCAGCAAAGGGAAAAGGAGAAGGAAGTGGATTGGATTCAGGGGTTATTTAACCCCTGGTCATTATTTCACCACATCCCTGCCCCAGCCCCAGCCAAAGCACGTTGTCCTTTAGCTTGAGAGGCACAAATTCAGGTCTTGGTCAGGGGTTCAAAGAGGGATTTTGGTGTTTCCCCTCTGAGGTGAGGAGCGAGGCCGAGCGGGGCTGCATCAGGGCCGAGTTCAAGAGGCTGCAGCAGCTGCTGGCAGAGAAGGAGTGTGCAGCACTGGCCCAGCTGGCAGAGCTCGATGCTGCCTTTGAAGCTGCTCAGGAGGAGAAGTCTTCGCGGGTGGCTGAGGGCATCACACAGCTCCATGTGCTCATTGGGCAGCTGGAGGCCAAGCGCCTACCTCAGGTGAGACCCTGATGGAACCAAAAGTGCCCCCAAAGCAGTGACTGTGATGGGGAGTCCTCAAACCCCTTTTCTCTCCCTTTTAGGATATTGAGAGCATCCTAAGCAGGTATGTAGCACCTTCCCTGCACCCTTGCAACCCTGTTGAACATCCAGCTCCATCATGCCTCTTCCCAGCTGGAGCAAAATGAAGCTTCAGCTCCCATCTGGGCTCCCCACTGAGCTGGAAAAGAGCCTGAGCTCCTGCCGGCACCAGCGGGATGCTCTCCGGGAGGCCCTGGAGGAGCTCAGAGGTATTCGGGGGGAGAATTCAGTTACTTCAGGGTAATTCAGAGGCATTGTGGGACAAATTATGAAGTGTTTTGGCATTTGGCAGGAAATAGTTTAAAGGCAGGCAGCAAGCCCATGCCCACCTCCCCACCTGCCTTCCTTCTTCCAAACAAGGGGATACCTGAACCAAGGCCAGGACTTGGGAACTTTCCCAGCAGAGAGAAAAAGGGTGAGGTGACCCTTTATTCCCCTTTCTTCCTGCCCCTACAATGGCGTCACCCTCCCACTGACCTATCTGGCTTTCCCTACAGCAAAAGCAACTGCGGATCCCAGCTGGGCTCCTCTCCCGCAGCTCTTGGTGGACAGAAAGAGCGCGCGGTGGGATGAGGAGGAGCTGGAAGCGGGAGGGGAACCCTAGCGGCTTTATACCTGAGCTGCTCAGGCCGTGTAAGAGCAGCTGCTCCACCACTGAGGATGGGGCCCGGGCTTGTGGTGGTGCACAAGCCGCCGTTCGCCGTTACGGTAATAAAACAACAGATAAAGCGTGCGTAGTGTAAAGTTTAAAGTCTATTTTAGGGTTGGGGCGCCCGCCGCGGCCGAGCGCAAGGCATCGGAACGCTAGCCCCACTCCCTGGGAACAAACCTGCGGACCTGGTTGAAAACTGCGCCACCGGACACCCACGTCGCCTGCGTGCTCACCGGACCTGATTGGGAACTGCTCCAGTCTCCACCGCTGGGGCGGCCTTTCCCGGTTCCAGCTGCCGCTGCCCCCTGCAATCTTCTGTCGCGCAACGGCCGGAGGGGGTTCGATTCGAGCCGCAACCACCCTGTACCTCGGTGCAGCTCTTCTAGTGACACGGGGCAGCAGCCAAACACTCCCCGGGGCAGCCCTTCCACCGCCGCCCCGCGCGTCCCTCGGTGCAGCTCTTTTAGTGGCAGAGGCAGCGATCACTATCACCCACCCCTCGGTGCAGACCCTTCGCTACTCCTCACTTATCCCTCGGTGCCGGTCTTTTAATGGTGCGGAGCAACAGCCACACCCGAGGAAACCCATCCTTCCCTCGGTGCGCTCTTGAACACAGCTTTGTTCCGCCAGTCCCTCGATGCAGCTCTTTTGGTGAGACAGGGCGCCGATCACAATCACCCACCTGTCCGTGCACACGCCCTGCTGCGCCCCGCCTGTCCCTCGGTGCAGCTCTTTCACTGATGCGGGGTAGCGATACTCTCACCCCCAGTGCGGCTTTTTTCGCCCCTCCATCCCGCACACTTCCGTGCACAAACCCTGCGGCGCCCCGACTGTCCCTCGGTGCAGCTCTTTTCGTGACACGGGGCAACAGACGCACGCCCCCTCCCCCGGTGTAGCTCTTCCACCGCCTCCCCGCCAGGCCCTCAGTCTACCTGTCAGTGACACGAGACGGCCATCAGCCCTCATCACACCCCCTGCTGTGCACCACCAGTCCCTCGGTGCAGCCCTTTTAGCGGTGAGCAACAGCAGTCACAACCGGGACAGTCCGCCCTTTCCTAGGTGCGCCCCTCAACACCGCCTCGTTCCCCCAGTCCCTCGGTGCAGCTCTTTTAGTGACACAGGGCACCAGACACATGCCACCCCCCCCCCCCCCCCCCCCGCCCCGCCCAGCCCAGCCCTTCCACCGCCGCCCCGCCTGTCCCTCGGTGCAGCTCTTTTAGCGACACGGGGCGGCGATCACCTTCACCCACCCCTCGGTGCACACGCCCTGCTGCGCCCCGCCTGTCCTTTCGTGCAGCTCTTTCAGTGACACGAAGCACCAGACACACTATCCCCGGCATAGCCCTTCCACTGACGCCCCGCCAGTCCCTCGGTGCAGCTCTTTCAGTGACACGGGGCGGCGATCACCCCTCATCACCCACCCCTCGGTGCACACTTCCTGCTGCGCCCCGGCCGTCCCTCGGTGCAGCTCTTTCAGTGACACGGGGCTTCACACACACCCCCCCCGGCGCACCTCTTCCATCGGCTCCCAGCCCTACCCTCGGTACAGCTTTCAGTGACACGAGACAGCGATCACCAGCCATCAACCACCCCTCGGTGCACAGCCCCTGCCGCGCCCTGCCTGTCCCTCGGTGCAGCTCTTTCAGTGACACGGGGCAACAACCACATCCCCTCCCGGCGTAACCCTTCTAACCGCCGCCCCGCCAGTCCCTCGGTGCAGCTCTTTCAGTGACACGGGGCAACAACCACATCCCCTCCCGGCGTAACCCTTCTAACCGCCGCCCCGCCAGTCCCTCGGTGCAGCTCTTTCAGTGACACGGGGCAACAAACACATCCCTTCCCGGCGTAACCCTTCTAACCGCCGCCCCGCCAGTCCCTCGGTGCAGCTCTTTCAGTGACACGGGGCGGCGAGCCCCCCTCCTCAGCCACCCCTCGGTGCACACCCGCTGCCGCGCCCCTCTGTCCCTCGGTGCAGCTCTTTTAGCGGTGCGGGGCAGCCCACCCTTCCCTCGGTGCGCCTTTTAAAGCCGCCTCGCCACCGCAGTCGCTCGGTGCAGCTTTTAGTGACACGAGGCGGCAGTTTCCCTCCCCCGCAGCCCTCACTGGCTCCACAACTACCCCACAGCGTTCTCTAAATGGCACCGGTGACCAGCTCTTCCGCTGAACCCCCCACATGGCTCTTAAAAGAGCTTTTGAGTTCCACGTTTATTGTTCCATCAATCTTACTAACAATCCGCCTCGAACCTCCACACCCCCGGCAGCTCCCTCCATCGCAGCCTCAGCTACCTCCGCGCCCTCGTCCGCATCCTCTGCTCTGTTATGTCCTACGGGCACTGCCCTCGCCGTTCCCCCAGGTCTACACGGCTTCTTCAGCCGCTGAGAAGAGGCATTAACTACGTTCTTGCGCTCCTTCGTCTTCTTGGCCCGCCGCCGCCGCCGTCGGGATTCACCGGCCGCCCTCCCGCGCCGCGTATTTCTATCTAATCGCTCCCTACCTATGGGGCCGATACGGAACGAACCGGCGGCGCCGCTCCCCGTCACCCGCTCCAGCAGCCTCTTGTTGATCAAAGACTTGAGCGCCGCCTTCAAGCGACTACTATTCCGTTGCACATCATAACCCTCATCAATGAGAACCTTCTTAATGACAACTAACGAGGTACCTCTACGGCCCGACGAAAAGCAGACGGCGCGGAGAATAAGATCCGACAGCGACAACCGCCTGCGCTTCGACAACAACGTTAGCGGCATGCTGGAGATGGATGGCACCGATGCGACTGTCCCCCGTGATATAACTGGGCCGCCGGCTTCAAGACGCTGCTCCGCCCGCTCCGCCCGCTCCGCTCAGCAACGCTCAGCAACGCTCAGCAACGCTCCTCCTCCTTCAGCTGCGGCCTCCCGACTGCAAAACAGCGCCCCTCGGCGGCCCTTTATATAGCCCTGTGGCGGACGCAACAGAAACCACCTCTCTGTTCTCACGCCCCCTCCCCTCTCCGGCGGACGCGACCGAATCAACCGCTCCCTTCTCATCCCCCCCTCCCCTCTCTGGCGGAAGCGACCGAACCAAGCTCCACGCGCCTCTGCACCCCCCTCCTTCCTCCGGCTCCAAAATGGGGCTTTTCCCCTCAAAAAGACCTCCCCCGCCAGAGCTGCGTTCACTCACACCCCCCTCCAATGTTCTTTTGTGTCCCCTTGGCCAAACCCTACAGAAACTATGTAAAGAAAAAGTCTCCTAAAAAGCTGAAAATCATCCCAGAAAGTTAAGCAGGTGCAACGAGCGGTAGCACCAAGGTTCTGCAGCTCTGAAAGCTGGTTATAAACGAAAAGTAGAAGTTAAATAAGGCATGAGCAGTGGTTTGCTTTAAGGTTTGTGTGCATAGATACAAAGTAAGACTAAACACCAAAATCTGTCAATTTCTGGAAAAATACTTATGTCTAGCACAGCCCTGGTCTCGCCAGCTGCTGTCTCTTGCAGAGGTGAAGTCTCCTGAAGATTAATATCATCCTTGGAAATGGCCTGAAACATTTAAGAACTAATTAATCTTGAAATTTTGTGCTCTGCTAATTACACCCCATTGTCCCACATATATTAGAGAAAAAAAAAATTAAAATAAACGGTTTCAGTTTTTTTTTATTTTGCTTTTCTGTTGCCCAAGAGCTACTATTGAAAATTAAACTTACGGATTTATTTTGTTCTGGTGGCTCCTGGAGCGTCCCGTCTCGTCCCATCGCGCTTTGCTCCCCTGCACTCTGGAGATTCCCCGCACGGGTGTGAATAGAGGGAGTGGGATCACAAATGCCTCTTCCTATTGGCCGTCGGACGCCCTGAGTCTTCTTATTGGCTGTCAGGTATCAACCAATCAGAATGGATCTTTCCGATCTGCTCTCCCGCGGTGACAGTGGCCTCCCCCCTCCCCCCCCAGTCCCTCCTCGCATAGGGGCGAGTCTGCGTCTATTAAGGGGGTTTATCGATGGAAGCATGACCCAGAAAACTGAGGAGAACCTCCCCTAAAAGAGTTAGAAGAGCTCAATTTGAGAAAGAAAAATGGTTTTGCTGATGCTGCTTGACGCCTTGTAGGAAGGTTTTGCCAGCAGAGAAGTTTCTGCTTAGGATTTGTAGAGAATTTAGGGGAAAAAAACACTTCTTGTGCCTCCCGGGATCATTCGGGCTGGGGCCTCCCTGTGGTTTTGCAATCGCAGCCAGGATGTGAGCAGGGAAAGAGGCCACGGGCGAGATTTCATCCGCTATTTCACCACCTAGAAATGCATAGAAAGGGAAATAAATAAACAACTCAGCATCTTGACACAACAGGAAGTTGTTACTATGGTTAAACCACATAATAAAGCACTGCTATCAGGCAGTGCAGGCAGGACCTGGCAGGTCTCTACCTCTTACAGCCCAAATCGCTCTGTCTTTGCTGCCAGATTTACCTCCCTGTCCCCAGAGACTTGTAATGTCAGCCTAAGGAAGAAGAGAAACCACAAGGAAAGGCAGCAGGGAGGACAGCTGCTTTCATCTCCAGGGCCCTAATTTTAAATAAAACACCTGACAAACCCACAGGTCACCACTAAACCCAAATTACAGCCCAGCTCGGTGTGTAATTAGTTGTTTCTCCACTTGGTAAAGTAGGTCATGGGTGATATTGTCCTCAAAGACAAGAGCTGGTTAAGCACAAGGTTTGGCAACACCTACGTGACATCGAGGGAAAATCAAAATGCTTCTTTTGCAGTGTCCTGCTCCAAAGGACAAGCTTCCAACACTCCGTTCCATCCACTTGTCACCTGAAAAGCTTTATGAAGATCTAATTTGAAAGTCTGTGCAAAAAAATAAAGCTTAAACAAAAAAAAAAAAAAAGCCTTTCTTTGTAACTCAGCAGGCCCAGAGCTGACTCTCCACTGCTGGGCAAGACGGGAATCAGCTTCTTTTCAAGCAAACACACCTCACCAGCCTCACATAAGCAACTTGTCTGGCAGATCGTTTATCACAAAGGGCACACAGCCCCCATTCCTCGAGCAGAGCCTCCACAGCAGCCCCATCCATGAAGCCCAAACCCCTTTGGGATGACAGACAAACCTTGCACCACCCTGTGAAAAGAGGCCTCAGAGAACAGCTTCAGGTGTTTTCTCCATGAGTGATGGACTCTTTCTCGCAATAACAGACCCCAGCGCGGAGGCAGATGCATTTGGAGTTCATTTTCTTAACCTCAGCCTCCTGCCTCGCCCGCACCATTCCGCCCTCACCGCTCCCGCCAACCCTGGAACCCCGCCTCAGCACTCTGATTGGCTCCTTGCCCTACCACTGCGGCTTCCCATTGGCTGCTCCTCCCCGCGCAGCCCCCCCCTCCCGACAGCCTTCCTCCGGGCGGACCTGAGTGAGAACTGCGGGCCCAGCAAAGAGCGGCAGTTGCGGACCTGAGTGAAGACTGCCGCCCCCCCCCCCCCCCCCGCCAATTTCGTGGGTTAATAATGGCCGGGTATTCAGAAAAACGGGGCTCAGGAGACACTTTTATACCCCGAAGACTCCAATTTGGGTGTATTTTCCACCAAAATACAGTTCCAGTGCAAACCGGGCAGGGTTTTGGGGAAGTTTGTCCCATTTTGAACATTGTCCCTGGGGAAGCAACTCTGGAAAGTGGGGATTTTCCACCTCAAAATAGTACCTGCCTGGGGGAGAAACCCCGAAACTGGGGGGTTTCTGGTTAATGTCAGAGGGGCTCCATGCTGCTGCATCAAGGGGAAAGTGCTGATAACACCCCAAAATCCGTCTTTGTCCCCCTTTTAAGTGAAAATTTGCTCTAATCAGCACCAGCAGTGGAGGTGGGGAGGAAACTGCTTCCAAAATATCCTTAAAATCACCCAGATTTAACCCGAATCCTGCTGGAGGGTGGCATAAATCCTTCCCAGTGTCACTAGTTTGCCCAGACTCCCGTAGATCCCCACAGACCCCCCTACCTAATAGATCTGTGTAGACCCACACAGGTCAGTTTATGGTCTGTAGCACCAAGAGCATTAAGCTGAATATAAGAACAAACCCCTGCAAGTGCAATAGAGGACCCGAGTGGTGCTGATGAAAGTACCAGCAAAAAAAACTGACTTTTGGGAGGAGTTTTAGGTTTTTTTTGCCATTTATTCTGCAAAATCATTCCTCCACTCGCCCCGAATCGTGTCCTGGCTCCTCCCCTCTAAATCCACACCACAAAAAAAAAACCCCAAAAGCAATGAAAAAGGGGGGGAGAAATTCCCCCCCGGAACAAAACCACACTGAGCAGCGCAACTCCCGCTAACTCCAGCTGGGATCGTATCCCGTCCAGTCCGAGGGGGGCGCCAGGTAAACGCGCCGTCCCCTGTAGACGAAGCTGACGATGCCGCGGTAGCCGGCGCGGGGGACGCCGGACTTGAGGTCGTCCATCAGCCCCAAAGCTTTGGCGAAGGCCTTAAAGGAGTCACGGCCGCTGTATTGGAGGCGGACGGTGCCCAGCTCCCGGCGCCGGTTCCCCTGGAGCTCTTCCACCCTCACCTCCGGAGCAGAGTAAACCTTAGGGAGGAAGGAACGTTCGTACTCGTCCTTTTTGAGGTAAGAAAGATCCAGTTGGGTAAAAGGCACGAAACGGTCGTTGAGTTTGATGAATTTTAAATACTGGTCAAAGAACTGCCCGTGGCTCACGCCTTTGCGACCAAAAGTCATCGTACGGGAGACCTCGGGCCGGACGCAGGAGCGATCGCGGCGCTGCTCCGGCTGCCGCATCCAATCGTCCCAGAAAGCTCGCGGCCATTTGGGCTCGAGTTCATCCCAAAGCTCGGCTAAAAGCAACCAACCAAGGCCGGGAAAGAAATCAGTCCTGTAAAGCAGTTCAGCCTGCGCGACGTCCACCATCTGCTCCTTCCCGTTGTCGTTCCAAGCGGACACGCACCAGAGGCTGCGGTCGGCCAGGAGCAGCGGGAATGCCGCTTGGAAATATTCAAAGAAATCCGGAGCAACTTCTAAGTCATCCTCCACCACGATGGCAGCACGGTACCGGAACGTGCGGAAAACCTGCCCCAACGCCCAGCGGTAATGCCGGGCGATCTTGTAGTATCCTTGGAATTTCCTATGCTCCGCCGGCACCGGGATGTCGCTGAGGTCCGGCTGCCGGATGTGAGCCACTGCATCCCCATAGGAAGCGATGACCCGGGCGGTCTCGGCGTGCCCGCAGTCCTGGCTCACGATGACGGGGAATTGCTGCGCCGAAGGCCGGTACCGCAGGAGCTTATCGAGGCAGCGGCGCACGGTGCTGCGGTCACAGGCCAGCACCAGCACGGGCAGCACAGCGCCGCCGGGCTCGGTGGGGTGCGGCGGGGCCGGCGACGGCGGCGGTGGTGGCGGAGGGGGCGGTTTGGGGGTGCCGGGGCCGCGGCGGTGCCGCCGGCTCCAGAGGCCGCTGTAGCGGTGGATCTGGTGCAGGAGCTGCTTCTGCCGCTCCAGCTCGGTTTCGGCGTCCTGGGCCAAGCGGATCACTTGGGCTGTGAGGAGGTCGCCGTCGGGAGGCGAGGTCGGGCGGCTCCAGAGGAAGAGGAGGAGGAGGCCGTTCCAGGCGATGAAGAGCGCCGCCCCCCACAGCACCAAGCTGCTCTTCTTCAGCATCCTTCAGCGCTCACTCCCATGCCATGGACCTGGGACAGCACCAAGAGACAGGGTTCAGGGGCCTCCTTTCACCCTTCAACAGGGGAACAACACCTCCCCCGGCCTCCCCCCCCCCCCCGGCATGGGGATAGGAAGTGAAACAACGCAGCCATGGAGCCTCCCACCAGAAACGTGGCACAAAAACACCTCAAAAATAGGATAAGGGGGGAACGGCAAATTATGAGCCCTAAAGCCCAAATCTCTGCATGGGGAGCAGGGGGCAGAGTCCATTCCCGTTAAACATTAACCCCAAGGCAAGTTCCAGGAAGGATTTGGCACCGGGAAGGGGGTTGGGGGAGGGAAGTTTCTGCTTGAGAAATAGAAGGAAAGCTTCAATTTAGGTGCTAAAATCCTCTGTTTTCAGCAAGTTTTTACCTCCCCCTCCCCCCCCCCCCCAACCCAGTTTGACTCCTACCGGCAAAGGGAAGATGTCAGCGAGGGCAGGAAGTGGGAGGGAAAGGGGGATTTAAGGCAAAAAAGAAGGAAAACCATAAGGAAAAGGGGAATGGAAACACCAGGGCGAATGAAGAGAGGGCAAAGCAGCGGCTGGTGAAGCGCAGGGGGAGCAGCTCAAGGGTTAACGGCGCCGCCGGCCACGTTGGCGGGCGGAAAAGGGGAATTAAAAGGAAAGAAAACACCCGGAAAAGGGGGATTTAAATTGAGAAGGGGGGGGGGGAAAGAGGGAAAATCAAGGGTTTAGAGTGGTAAAAGGGAGGGGGGGGAGGCCAAAGGCAACAGAAGGGGAAGGGGGAAAGGGGAAAGTGCCGGTAACACGGAAAGCAACCGGCTCAGATCCCCCTTCCCGGCCCCAAAAGAGCCATTGCAGCCCGGAAAAGCAGCTGGAGAGAAGGGAAAGAAGGGAAAAAAGGTGGGAAAAGGGCAGTCTGGGGGGGTTTGAGCTCCTCAATGGGGGCTCGGCAGGGGGAGGCGCTGGGTTAAGCCATACCTGGGGCCAAAAGGCTGGGAGCAGCTGCTGGCTTGGCTCTGAATGAGGGGCTCTGCCTCCGAATGGGGCTGGTTTGGCTCAAAAGGAGCCAGTTTTGGCCCAAAACAAGGTTTTTTTTGCCCAAAACAAGGGGTTTTTGGCCCAAAACAAGGGGTTTTGGCTCCGAAGGGCAGGCTGAGCCGCGCCGTGCCCTGGTGCCGAGGCCGGAGCCGGCAGCCAGGCGCTGAGTAAGCAGAGCTGGGATTTCCCCAGCCCTCAGCTGCGCTCCGGGGCCTCCCAGCCCCGACCCCATTGAACCCTTCAGCACCCCCAAACCCCCCCCCCAATCCAGGCTGGGGGTGACGTTTTCCCCCCTTCTTTGCTGCTTAAAGGTGAATTCCCCCAAATCCAGGCATTCCTGAAGGATTTGGGGGGGTTTAAGCTCCTTTTCCTCATCACAGCAGCTCCCCAGAGACCCCAAACGAGCAGATTCGAGGTAACCCCCCCACCTCCCGGTTTCATTCCATCACCTTTAAATTACCCATTAAATCCCCTTTTTAACTAATCCAGGCTCTTTTTGCATCCCAGGGGAAGCAGCTCCGGCCTCAGCATCCCAAACCCACCCATAACGGACCAAGGAAGTGAGTTTTGGTGACACACACACACCCCCTCCCCTTTGATTTTTTCCCCTTTTCCCACCTTTTTGGCTTCACTTCTACCGGGGTGACACCAAAATAAACCACAGCGACCAATGGGAACAAACCCTCACCCTTTTCCCATGGGATCTGTCCCAACGCCTCGATCTTCCCCCAAATCTACCTTTTCCCCCTTTCCCAATGGGATTTTAACCCCAATCCCAATGGGAATTACCCGGGAAAAGCATCTCCCTTCTCCCCGCAGGGGATTACCTGCTTGTGCCGTCGCTCCAGGGGGAGGGGGGTCGCTGGGGTTCCCCCCTCCCCCTCCTTTTCCAGAGTCCCCTGAGAATCCCTTGGGAATGAGGGGGGGGGCTCAAGGCGCTGCTTCCCTCCCGCCGGAGCTTCCACACGGTGCTGGGGGGGGGGAGAGGGGGTCAGGCCATGGCGGGGGCTGTGTCCGTCGGTCCGGCCGCTGCCTCCGGGCTCAGCATCCTCCAACCCCCAGGCATGGTCCTTGGGGGGGGGCCTCCAATGAGCTCTTCAATGGGGAGGAAAAGGTTAAAATGCCCCAATTCCCCCTTTAATGAGCACAAAGCTCCCCCCCCCCCCACCTCCTCATGGATCCCCCTGCCCCGAATCCCGCAGGAAGAGGAATGGGGAGGGAGCCTCCTCCTTGCCCCTATAGGGCACAGGGACTCCCCCCAGCCCCTCCCGCAGCCCCATAGAGGACACCCGAGGCCCTCCCAGCCCCATAGACCCCAATGGCGCCCCCCGGCCCCACGGGGACCCCCCCTCCCCGGCCGGTACCAGCAGCGCTTCCCGGCAGCTCCCGCCACTTCCGCCCCGCCGCAGCGGAAGCGACGCCATGGCAACGGCGAGACCACGCCCCCGAGTATGCCCATTTATGGCAGGCCACGCCCATCTCGGGATTGAGTCACGCCCTCCGAAAAAGGGTGGACACGCCCCCTCCAGGGCTTCCCGCGTCAATCAACGCGCGCGCCGGGGGGAGGAAGTGACGTCAGGGAGGGGCGGGGCTGGAGGGGCGCGCTTTCGGGACTGTCTGGGCGCCGCGGAAGGGTTCGACTTGTCTGCTCTGGGGGGCTATGGGGGCGATGAAGAGGGCAATGAGGGGGCACTGGGGCTCAATGGCAGCGGGCAATAAGGGGGTGCTGCTGACCCCCCTTTTCCTCGCTATAAGGGACAATGGGGGTGATCGGGGGCACTGGAGCAGGGGGGTCCAATGGCAGCGGGCAGTAAGGGGGTGCTGCTGACACCCCCCTTTTCCTCGCTATAGGGGACAATGGGGGTGATCGGGGTCACTGGAGCAGTGGGGCTCAATGGCAGCGGGCAATAAGGGGGTGCTGGGTGATGCTGACCCCCCCCCGTTTTCCTCCCCCCCCATTCCCAGCCATGGAGCTCCCCTCCTCCTGCTTCCAATCCTGCCTGGATTTCTGCCCCGAGTGCGGCTCCGTCCTGCCCCGGCCGGGCCCCCAGAGCAGCATCAGCTGCCCCCGCTGCAGCTTCACCCTCGACACCTCAGGTCTGTGGGGACAAGGTTGGGGGGGGGACAGCGGGACGGGAACCTTCCCCCCCCCTTGACTGCCTTTGTCCCATAGACTTTGAGGGGAAAACGATCCGCAGCACCATCGAGTTCAACCGGTTGGAGCCCGCGGGGAGGGGGCAGGATCCTGCTCCCCACTTCCAGGGACCCCTGGTCAGTGGCTATGTGGGGAGGGGGGTAACACCCCTTTGGGAGGAACCCCCCCTGTCTATAGCCCCCCCATAGGGCTGGTTGTAACCCCGTGTCCTGGGGGGGGCACACGCAGGTGGAGCGGCGCTGCCCCCGCTGCGGGCACGAAGGCATGTCCTATCACACCCGGCAGATGCGCTCGGCCGATGAGGGCCAGACCGTGTTCTACACCTGCCCCCAGTGCAGGTGAGGGACCCCCCCATTCCATATGGATCCCCCCTTTACCCTACTCTGACCCCCCCATTCAATATGGATCCCCCCTTTTCCCCTCTCTGACCTCCCCATTCAATATGGATCCCCCCTTTTTCCCTCTCTGACCTCCCCATTCAGTATGGATCCCCCCTTTTCCCCTCTCTGACCCCCCCATTCAATATGGATCCCCCCTTTTCCCCTCTCTGACCCCCCCATTCAATATGGATCCCCCCTTTTCCCCTCTCTGACCCCCCCATTCAATATGGATCCCCCCTTTTCCCCTCTCTGACCACCTCCATTCCATATAGATCCCCCCTTTTCCCCTCTCTGACCCCCCCATAACCACCCCTTCTCTCCCCACAGGTTCCAGGAGAAGGAGGATTCCTGATGGGGTGTTCCTGTCCCCCCCACCCTGGGGTGTTTGTGCCCCCCCCATGTGGTCAATAAACCCCTCCAGGGTGTTGATTCAGGGGGTGTCTCGCTTAAAACTGCCCCCCCCAGCCCCTGTTTACCCCCCCCAATTCTCCTTTCAACACTTACTTGCCTCCCCCAGCCTCTATTTGTTCCCCCAAGGCCCTGAATTGCCCCCTTAAGCCTTCTATACCCCCCCAAACTGCCCCCCCATCCTCTATCTGCCCCCCGTAGCACCTCAATTGCCCTCTCAGGCTCTATTTACCCTCCTGAACTGCCCCTAATTGCCCGCCAGCCCCAAAATTGCCCTCTTATGCTCTACTTACCCCCCCCCCCCCAAGCTGCCCCTATTTGCCCCGTCAGCCTCTACCTACCCCCACAAACTGCCCCTAGCCCCTAATTTGCCCCCTCAGTCTCTAACTACCACCTTAAACTGCCCCCTGACCCCACTGCGCATGCGCGCTGCGCCCCCACCGACTCCCCCCTGTCCGGCGGAAGTGCGCCCGTAACGGGGGA